TGTATATGGAATTTAGATTTCTCCCCCCCCCCAAAAAAAACCATGCATCCAATTACACTTCTTACATTGAATTCCATTTGCCAGATTACCACCCATTCACTGAGTTTGGAGAGATCTTTTTGGAGATCAGTTTTGTTTTAATAATCCTGAACATTCAGCAAACTCAGCTACCTCATGGCTCCCCTTCTAACCCGTAGTAATTTATGAATAAGTTAAAAAGCCCAGGTCCCTATACCAATCTTTTGGGGGAACCCCACTTTCTACAACCCTCCATTGGGATAACTATGAATTTATTCCTACTCTCTACTTTGTGTTGCCGATCCACAAAAGCACCTCTCCTTTCATTCTGTGACAGCTAAGCTTACTCAGGAGTCTTGGGCATTGTACTTTGTCAAAAGCTTTTTGAACACCGGCATCATAATACCTCCTCCTTATTTCACAGTGGTGCCATTTGGGTTCTGTTGCTGTTGGTCCTCACTCCCCGAGTTGCTTTTAGAGGCAGACATTCATGACGTATGCATGTATTATACTGTTTACTGCATGAGTGTAACTTTTATTTTCCCAGACATTTTCCTTTTGTTTTCAGCTGGAAATCGTTTCCATGTTTTACGCTGATGCACCTCCAGTTGCTTTTATCCTTTTTTTAATTTTTATTGAAATTACACCGCTTCTTAAAATGATTGTACTAATTGCTTTTTAATGCTTTGTGTATACCACTTCCAAGAGATCAGGTGAGCTGAAAGAGAGGGTTGCAAGTTTTTTAAAATAAAAATGAATTCAAAACCAGGCGCAGCTCCAAAATGTCTCATCTGAATTCTGGGACCGCTGCTGCATTTGAACTGGTGCAAAATGCCATTTTGGCTGATCTGCGCAACAGCTGCTTGCAGCTTTGAACTCATCATCATAGCAATTCTCTCTCTCTCTCTCTCTCTCTTGGGAGGGGAGGGTAAATAGGCTGTAGCCCTTACTGCACAGAAAGCCAACATGCAAGTTAAGGCTTTGCAAGATCAGAAGGTAGAGTGTGAGGGTTGCCATGGAAATGCTCAAATAATAACCCAGCAGTGAATGGTGATGCTAGAATCCATTTGCCAACCAGCTTTCGCAAGGCTTTTAATAAAAAAAAATCTAGAATCAACTTGCTAGGGACGTTGGGCGGGGGCTCAGTTCACAAGACACCCACGTCCAGACCCCAGTGCTAGTTCCAGGGCAACCTTTCACGTTTCCGAGGGATACAGATTAAATTCATTACAAAGTTCATAAAGTTTATCCCTAGGCACATTCAAGGTTAGATGGCAAAACATCCATATACAGTGGTACCTTGAACTTAATTCGTTCTGGAGATCCGTTCTTAACCTGAAACTGTTCTTAACCAGAGGTACCACTTTAGCTAATGGGGCCTCCCGGTGCTGTCACACACAATTTCTGTTCTCATCCTGAAGCAAAGTTCTTAACCCGAGGTACTATTTCTGGGTTAGTGGAGTCTGTAACCTGAAGCGTCTGTAACCCAAGGTACCACTGTATTTTAACAGTCCTTGTGGCGGTTGTGTCTCTTGACCAAAGTAATGCCTTTAGGAACATAAAGCTCTGTGGGATCCTATCAAATGCTCCATCTAATGTGGCATTGGCCAACCAGATGCCTCCAAGAAGCCCACAAGCAAGGCTTGAAGGTAATTCATTAGACTGAGATAGACTGCCTCTGAACCTGGAGGTTCTGTTTAGTCAACATGGTTAACAGCTATTAAGAGGGCTATCTTCCACCATTCCCTTTCTTTCTGATTCAAGTCTTCCCAGGCACAAAAGGAAAGTATCAGCAAACTCAGGATAATCCCAGGACTTCATAACATTTAGAGCAGCGGTGAAGAAACTCTGGCTCTCCAGATATTGCTGAACTCCTGTCCACCCCATCGTCAGGGATGAGTACATGTAGCATCCGGAGGGACAAAGGTTCCTTGTCCCTTAGAAGGTAAAAAAATGCCAAAGTAGGAAGCCGTCTCCCACCCACCCACCCAGGGAGACTAGAATGGGGCAAGGGATGCACAGAGATACAAAAAGGGTGCAGACAAGTATCCAGTTGTCTGGATAGGTCATTTCCAGGTTCATACTGAGGAGACCTATTTAGATATCCCCAGAGACAGAAGCAAGAGCTGTCCAAAGAAAGCAAAGGAGGAATCCAGGATTTTAATGTAGCTGGGAATAGATACAAGTATGCCCACACAAACACACCCAAAATTGGAGAAGGCACCCCGCCACAAACAGGTCATGCTCAGTGGGCACAAAATGCTAACTGTTGGGAGGAAATGGGGAGAAAGATAGAGTGGAGTTGCTGGAAGCCTGAACAGCAGTTCATCACTACAACCTTTTGCTGTAGGTAAAGATAAAGGGGCCCCTGACCATTAGGTCCAGTCGTGACCGACTTTGGGGTTGCGGCGCTCATCTCGCTTTATTGACCGAGGGAGCTGGCATACCGCTTCCGGGTCATGTGGCCAGCATGACTAAGCCGCTTCTGGCGAACCAGAGCAGCGCACAGAAACGCCGTTTACCTTCCCACCGGAGCGGTACCTATTTATCTACTTGCACTTTTACATGCTTTCGAACTGCTAGGTTGGCAGGAGCAGGGACTGAGCAACAGGAGCTCACCCCATCGCGGGGATTCGAATCGCCGACCTTCCGATCAGCAAGTCCTAGGCTCTGTGGTTTAACCCACAGCACCACTTATTAATTTGTCTCAGATCCCTCTAAAAGGTACCTAAGCCTGCAAGTAGCCACCCACCAGAGCTGGTGGCAGCAAATCGCATAACCATTTGTATGTTACTTCTTAAATTTACATACCACATTTTTCTTCCAAAGCGCTCCAAGTGGGGCACATGGTTCTTCTCCATTTCATCCTCACAACCACCCTGTGAGGTAGGTTAGGCTGAGACAGGGTGACTGGCCCAAGGTCACCCAGTGAGCTTCATGGCTGGGTGGGGATTCGAACCCTGGCCTCCCAGGTCCTAGTCCAGCACTCTAACCATTATGCCAGAGGTCCTTCCTTTTTATGTGTCCTGGGTAACCCGCAAGAAGAAATATCCATCCATCTGTAGCATGTACGTAATTTGATGTTACAAGCCTCTTATCGTGTTCCCCCTCCCCCACACAAACTCACCTGTTTGCTATTGCAGGTTAGGAAGTATTCAACTCTCTCTGCATTAAGGTACAATACATTTCGGTATGTATGATTACAGCGTTGTTCTCTTTCATGTTTGTGCACGCTATTGACCTCCTCACCTATTTTCAAAACGGTCTCACCACAAAACTTAGTAGGTATGTTTACAACTGGGCTTCAAAATAACGAGACCCCCCAGACAACAGATTCTTAAGGCAGCTGCATGCGTGCCAAAACTCTCTTTTGTCTACTTCAGGGATGGCCTGAAAGTCGATACGAAATGAAATGCTACTTTGGGTTTGATTTGTTGTGCAGCAAATGCTTCCTGTCGGCCTTGCCAGCCGCCAGCAAATCTGCATCAGTTCAGGAGCTGCTTTAGGAAACCTAATAAATTATCCTGAGGCAGCTGCCACAGTAGCAGGAGGGTCTCTTGTAGAGGGGACCCCCCCCCCCAAAGACAGCTTTACTATTAGGAAAGATAAATGGAAGAGTATGTCTGGCTGCTTTTAGATAAGCTCTTTGCAGGATCATTGACCAGATTAATCCTGCCTATTTGAAAAACCACACCTTATTTCTAGGGCACTAGTGCCAAAACTGCTGTAGACAAACAAGTCCAAAATTGAAAATTTAGTGAAATGTGCTTGTGTGGTTTCTGAAATGCAGGTTTTTTCCCCCTTCTTTTTCCTTTTTAAAGGGACATGGATGTTAATGAAGCAAGTTTGCCAAGTCTTTTTGGAGACACTCCTAGAAACATATGCAACTTCCAATCCTGTCTACTCATGCACCACGGCAATGATGATTTTTCTTAGCTTCTTAAAAACTTTTTTTAAGGCTTCCCTCAAAATTTCAGGAAGAAACGCTACTGTGTGCTGCCTTAAGCTAAGAAGAGTGACTAGCCCAATGTCAATCACCCAGTGAGATTTGTGGCTTTGTATGGATTTCAATCTGAGCCTGCCTGGTCCAAACCTGTAACACTAACCACTATATGGCACTGCCTCTCAGCTAACAGGCAGCAATCAGGAGGAGACACTTCCCCATGTGAGTTGTCTCCATGCTGGGATATACTTTATCCAGTGCTTTTTCTCTGGGGGGACGCAGGGGGACGCATACCCCTAAACATTTTGTGAATCTAAGTTTGGCCTCACTGAGGGGCAGTATTTCGGTATGAGTAGGAAAATGAGAGTACCCCTAAACATTTTTTTTAGAAAAAAGCACTGACTTTATCTAAGAGATGGTGAACCTGTGTCCCTTCAGATGCTCTGTTTTAAAAAAAAAACATTTCAGGTATTTATATACTGCTTAATATTCAGAATTTCTAAGCAGTGTGCATAATGTATTAGATAATCATGCAAAGAACAATTAAAATGCAACATAGGAACAGAAAACTATCTTAAAATGCCTTTGCTCCATCTAATTTCAGTTGGGAGTGAGTTCCCATCTATTATTAGCCCCAGCTAGCATTAGGGATGCTGGGAGCTGAAGTCTAACAACCCCTTGAGGGGCAAAGGTTAGCCACCTGTGCTTTATTCTGTTTAACTTCTGAAACTTGATCCAAGAACTTCACAGCCTGACCAAAGTGACAAGAGATGTGCAACATCAGCCCCTGTGATTGGCAAGAAGCACAGTGTCTCGATAGACACATTCTTCAAGTTGTTTCTCAAAGTGTCTGGGTAGCAGTGCTAATCCCATTAATTTCTCATTAATGGGTTATAATTTTCAGTCTCAAAAGAAAAACCCCCACATACCTTGGGGGAACAGAGAAACAAAACTGCTCAGGTAGGTAAAGTCTTTTTTATAACAACAACAAAACAACAGCATTTAAGGAGTAAGATTTAAAAGAGGACAACACTGCAGATTAATAGAAAAAGTACCCATTTATTCAAGGTATGACAAGTGTATTTACAGTATTTTTTTCCCTAGGACAAGATTCTCATGTGATTCTTAAAGCAGCAACAAAGAATTACATTTAAATGTGAGAAAATGTATTTTGTTGTTACAGATTGTTTTTTCTGCGAAAGAGTACAACACATGCAGCCCAATCCTATGCATGTCATACTTGAAAGTAAGCCCCACGGAGTTCAGTGTGCTTACTCCCAAGTAAAAGACATAGGATAGTGGCCTTAAGGCTAAGGAGTCGTTCTGACCTCTATCATAATACCAACTTTGCACAAATTAATTTTGACCTCTATCATAATACCAACATCACAAAATATATATATTTTGTATCTGCCAAGGAACATTACCTTGGAAATTGCAGGTGTTATGCTCTGCTCACAACTCACCTCTCCTACCTATTACAAGTCAAAGCCTTGAGAAGCTTCAGGTTGTTGCCCCAACATAGATCTTCGGAATCCTCTGAACTCAGAAGGGAGCTAACTTTTGAAGAACTTTCTATTTCGGTGAAGGGCAGTGAGAGAGGTACTACCCATTCTTAAAGTCTTGCAACAATTTTTGTGTGCAGAAGTAATCTGCATGCCTTTCTAATCATACAGGGCTGTGGGAAGTCAAAACAAGAACTGTACTGGGTGTTTGTGTGTCTTGACCACTTTTGCCCTTGCTGTCTGTTTAAAGAGGCGCTTAAAGATTAATGCAACGCTCGCCACAAAACGGCAGGATTTCTATCAAATCGGGCCATTTTAAGAAGTCAATTGTCTTCGCTTTTACTTTCTAGAGGACTACAGTGCTACCGCCATTCACTATTTAGCAACTTGCAAGGAAACCAGAAACCAGAGCCATGAGAACATGACATGGGCATGATTAATCTAAGGGTGCATTTAGACAGTATTTCTTTATGAGATTGTACCCAGTAGGACCAGTTTCCTCCTGCTCCCCTAACTACAGGAAGAAAGGAGGGAAATTTGGCATTTATCTGAACATAGGAGCTCCCTAACTTGGTAATACCTGGCTGAATCAGGAGCATAGATGGTTCTCCTCTGTTCATTTAGTTCCTACTCATCATAAGTGAGGGGCAAGGAAGACAACACAGAAATATGTGACCTGCTCCAGAGCTCTTCCTAGGTAGAATCCCAAAGTCAAAGCAACATCTGAACAGGCCCCTATTACAACTCTAGGAATGATGTGTGAATTGCTCAGTTGCTCCAAAGCTTAAGCATATCCCTTGGAGCCCCAAATATGGGTTAATGGATTTCAGATACAGGAATGACTCATGAATGCACTCCTGTGCAGTTAAACCTGCATGTGGGGATTATCAAGCATATGCCAGAGGTGTTCTGCTTAAACAGTAGCGCATACACAGCACCAGGAAAAAAGTTTGAGCTGCAAAACCTTATTTCATGAGCATGTCCCATTTGATTCAACAGGATTTGCATTTTTATTTTTTTCAGAATTGCAGCTGGAACCCGGGAACCATTTTTTTTTCCAGGCAGCAACATCTGTCACAGTGAGATTGATATAGGGGTACACAAATGGCTTCAGGACTGAAGAAAACCAATTTCAGCGCTTTTTGGCAAAAAACAAAACTCTATTGCATTTCCTAAGAGACAGTTTTCTTTCCTCAAGAGGAAACCAGCAAAATGGGGAAGCTCATGCAAAGTTTGCTCTTTCAACTAGAAGCATCAATTACTTTTTCAAAGGTTTTTTTTAATAAAAAACTGGCTTACCACAACTAAAAATGTCTATTTAAATAATCACTCATTCAGTTAAAATGGCTACTTCTGTCAGGCATTAACAGACATGAGTGGTTTATACCGGTGTTTCAAAATCAGTTTGCATCAACAGAAATGCTCACGCAAGTCAGATGATAGATGTTCATCTTGATGGGGGCTTATATGCAGCTTTGCCTACAAACACCAGTTTGAACTAGGTATTTGTACAAGAGCCACAATCAGACATTCCACAGACGTGGTGGGAAGCAGAAATAGCTGTGCTTCCTTTCCGTCAGATGTCTGCATCTTCTTCGGAGCAATGGGGACAAAGCAAGTTCTGTCCCAGTGTAAGTCAATTCACACTTCCATACTGGCCACTTCGGTGGAATGCCTGAAGTGGCCTAGAAACTCTTCAGGTGCTGAAATATGCATCCTTCCTAAATGCTGGGATAGGAAAAAATTAAGCCACAGCAATAAAAAATGGCCTTGAGATGTGGCACTTGATCAATGCTGCTACAATACAATTCTCCAAGACTTCCTCCCAGCATACTTAATAGTTTTTTACTTAGTTTTCCGAAAAAGTTATTTACATAATAAATTAGCTTTGTAACATGCTCTCCTAAAACAAGGATAGGATGCCCAAATCTTAGTGCCTTTACGGCATAACCCGGTGCTTTGCCAATGTACAAAACAGGATATTACATGCTGCAGGATGTTACACTGGCTGCAGACAAGAGAGGAGGAATATTCAGGAATGGAGTGTCTTTTCAGAGGTTCAGCTAGCTGAGCAGGTCCGAGTTCATAAAATGTGCTGAGCACCTTAAAACAAGTCATTTCAGGAGCTAAACATGATGCACGCAAAACGTATTCAGTAAGAAAGGGTTCTATCCTTTTTGTGATAAATAGATGTAACATGTATCAAGGAGAACCAGTCAAAAAGGAGTGTAAAATTGGTTCCCATAATCCCTGCCAAACTAAATTGATATTAAAACCAAGAGTGGTTTAAGACTGACGTTTAGTACAAAAAATCATTAGTTTTTGCATATTCCAAAAGGTAAATACACACCTAATCAGAATTTACCTTTGGCTTTAAACATTTTCCTACAAAGCAGTATTTCAGCCACACATTTACATGGTTTATACGGCATGTTCGTGCAGTGGAATCCTCTGCTATCGCACACAGTTAAAGACGACAATCCATCTTAAAACACACTGCGCATCATGCTTATGGGAACTCTTGCTTTCAGCAGAAGAAAAAATGTAAGAAGGGGTGATTTACCTTCTTTCAAGAGAGGGGAGGAGTTTGGCAGGAAGAAAGAGAGAAGGGTGACTCCTATTTGCTCTGCTACACCTTCAAAAGTAGGAGGTAAAAGTTACAGGCACTGTTAGTTCCATGGGGGAAGTTGCTGCATTTAGCTCATATCCCAAAAGCATTAAGTAGTCTTGAACAGTTTTAATACCATGGGTTTCCCCATGACTTTTTCTTCAGTTCAATTCACAGAATTCCTGGTGCTTAAAGTCCTGGCTGCACACTTGCTCTTTGCTAAAAATGTATTTTGCAGACTATGGTGTAAATTAAAAACTTACGTCAAGATCGTTACAAACTTTGCCTCTGTACACAAGAGAATCTTTGTGCTGATCTTTTCTTCAGAAGGACCTTATAAATAATATAAGTTTAGAACCAGTCTTCGGCACACTTGCCATTATACCATGCTGTTGCTTTCTCCAACTTTATCTACAAGCTGCCAGGAAAAGAGAGAAAGGGGGTGGGAGCAGAGGAGAGAGAGTAATTAAGGTGCAAACTACTTCAAACAACATGTAGGCATTGCTGAGCTTTTAAGTAGATGGCCAGGTGTGATCATATTCAAATAGTACGCACCAAGGTCTCATGGGAGACCTTGTGATGTAATTTGCATTGTAACAGTGTTTAGGCGTGGTATGTTTTTATGTTGACACAGAGCAACATGAAGATGCAACAGAATGGGGAAAAAAATCCGAAAGAAATGCAAATATAAAAAACTGTTAGCTCAATAACCCAAAGAAAAAATAAAAACATCAGCCATTCATGCATTAATAGACTGAATATGATATTTTCAACTAACCATTACTGGGGACTGTCTCCTGAGCCTACGCAGGCTTTGAAGAAAACATCAACAATTAACTTTTCAATAAGGATTTAACTCCATGAAAACCGATTTATAAATGATATTCGTAAAGACCAAGAATGAGAAAGATGTAAAGCCAGATTATCAAGGGACTGAACACAACAATGGTTAAATAGATGTAACATGAGAAAAAATCCATCTATATTATTTAGGCTTTTGGATCAACCCTACAAATTATGGCATTGGCAAGGAAGTGTTTAGGGTGGGAATGCTGAGACTATTGCGTCAGCATAAGCTAGATGCACAAGCTGTGAAAGGGCACACTACCAGGCAGAGAAAGGACATCATGGAGCAGAGATAGAATTGCTTCTGCCCCACCCTAAAGGCCATTGTGGCCACAATGAAGTCAGAAGTCACTGTGCAATCTCATACACCATACGTTTAGCACTGTCAGTTTATAGTGAGTTGCCTATGATCAAATTCCAGCCACTGTGCTTATGATACCACATATGTTCAAGCATGCATAATGCAAAAACAAAAGCCGGCCATTACAGGCACAAACAAATACGGCAGCACCCACAAGGAGGACACCATGTTTGTTTACATGAATGGGCCTTTTAAAAAAGTATGTGCTATAACATAATGAACATCATGGCCAGAACAGGAGCTGAGTGGCTGGCAGGAGCAGTCAGTGAGCCACAGAGATGATGGTCCTCAACAGCTTCTCAGGAGATGGGCCTGCTCTCTTCCTTTAATTCAACATTGAGCTGCCTAAACATTGAACAATACAACTATGGTGTCTGCTCAGTTTTAATGTGGTGTACACATAAAACTAGCTTTCAAAATTCAGTTATCAATATTAAAACTACTGGATCCAAATTTGAAGTGTCCATGAATACAACAGTTATCTGAGTGTCTATTGCAAAGGACTCTAGGGATTGTTCTGCAGTGCGCAATAGGGGCTCTTAATCATCCTGAGTGAACAGAGCATCCTAGAAGATACCCCAAACTTCTTTGCAGTGGCACACCACAAGGGAAGAGAAGTAGTGGTGGGTAAGTTGTCTTGTGGAAAAGCTTCCCTGATCTTTTAATTGGGAAGTCTGAAAGCCACTAACGTAAGACACCCCAGCCTTGCTCAACGTGGTGCCCTCTGGGATTTTTGGACTACAATTTCCATCAGCTCCATCCAGGGATGATGGGAGGTGTAGTTCAAAACATCTGGAGGGTAATAGTGGCTTTCAGACTGCATCTTGGGAAAACTTACAGTTCCTCAGAGTGTTAGTGTTGGAAGGCTTAACATTTAGTCAGCTTTGGGGTGAAATCGCATTTTTTTAAAAAACAGTTTAGCAGATGGCAAATATTTTGTATTGGCACAGGTCACCTGGACAGGTGCTTATAAATGACATGATAAACTTTGGGTACCAACATGTTCATGTCAGAAATACGAGAGCCAAACAATTTCTTTACTAAAACTGGTATTAACCTGAAGCTCCAAAACCAAATTCAGCTAACGGTATAAGAAACCATGATTCATTGTGCCTAAGGAGCACAATAATATAACACTCATTCTCTACAAGTCACAGGTGGAGTTGCCAAATTATCTGGCAGCATATACTGAAGGCAAGGGAAATTTGTGTCTGTAAGTAGGATGAGACTGAAAAGGCAGATCCCAAAGACAGACAAATTGTTAGTGAATCATCCTCTACAAATGTTTGGAAATCATGATGTATCATGAAGATTTGGCTAATACTGTGTTGCATTTGTTTATATGGAACCAGCATAATTTAGAATTCCACTCATATTTTTAGGTACAGAGTCACATATGCTGCACATTCAGGTATGTGATAGCTCATATGTTGAATACATGTCTTTGCACAAAATAACAAGAAGGCAATACACCTCCCACTGCCCCAGATTCTTTTAAGGGTGTGTGCAACTTTATTTTAAAAATAAATAAATCAAAGATGCTCTTCAGGACATAAATTAAAATATTTTAAGATATTTGCACACTCAAAATATTAAAAAGTCAATTATTGTATCTGTGCTGCATTTCATCTCCTACAGTCCACATATGTAGTGGGCTGGCAAACAGGACAAACAACTTAGGAACTTCAGAGCAGGGATCCCAAAGCTTATGTGAATTAGTTTTAATACTTACTGAGCTAATGCCAGGTAAATTCAAGAGATAGCCAAGGACCGGCACTCTTCTAATAAAACCAACCACCACAGGGAAAAAGCCCCTTTAAATGAAGAAAGTGTCACAGGTTAGATATGGCAGCATTACAACACAAACTGCTCAGGTTTTGTACCAAAAAATGCACACTCTCTCATACGGCATTTGCTCCCCCACCCTTTCTGGGTAAGTAATATACTCTTAACAAAATCCTTATACTTTTCAGGCAACTTCAAATGTCAATAGACTTCCTACATGGAAACAAATTCTTATAGGAAAATGCATGAAAGCCATATATAGATGACATAAATCTAATTTTGCAGCAAGTATACCTGCATATACTGTACACAAGTAACCAAACAAACCCGTGTTGCAAAGAGAACGTCAGCAATGTCTAGGCAACACGATGGCCATGTACATATGCAATAGACAATCTTTTATAGAATTCCTTCAAACCATAACAAGTCCAAAATGAAATCTTAGTCTCAAAGTGTCTGAAAATCTTTAAATGAAGCGAGGTACCAGACTTTGTACGATGAAAGACAAGCTGTAAAGCTTTGTGTAATCAGCAAATATGATGTCCAACACTGAACAGTGATTCCGGATATAGACTACTATATCTGTACACAAAGAAGCATGGTTATGTGAGAAATAAGTTATGTGCAAGAATCCAATCCAAGTGCAACTTTCTAGGTTCTTTTCCTCTATATGGAAAAGCAATTGCTGTGTAAAGAGCCTGAGAGGCAAAATATCAAATCAAGTGGAGTGAAATTAATAACCGGTAGGAATCCTAAGGCAAACCTATGGATCTGCCATTGATACATCCCTTACAAAGAAGGATTAAGGGATTCATGTGGATGCTTTTGTTCTGGTTAACCTCTTTTGGGATTCCTATAAATGCTCATCATTTAATGCCTGCAGGATCAAGTGTCAGCTTGTGTGAATGAGCCATCACGTACGCAATCAAGATGCAACAACACTGATTCATATGCTTCTGTCCCTGTGTTGAGAATCTTCCCTTGCTGACCTGAGCCATACATACTACCTCTAATTAACAGTAGTTGGCATTTACCAGGCTCCTGGTTAACAAACCAGTTTCAAACCCTGTTTCCAATTCCTGCTGAAGAGGAAATTCTGGTTACAATTGCACCGTTGTCAATGCAAAACTGTTAAAGACTGGATAGTGAATTTTGAAGGGAAAGGGACAATTTCCTCAAGTGTTCTGCTTGATGAATCTCTCTTACACACACACACACACACACACACACACACAACCTGTCATGTACAAAACTATTTTTTCATTGACTGTCAAAAGCACTCCACATTAGAAAAAATCATTACTGCCCCAAACAAAAGCGAAGACCAGCAAAGAAATCTTACCTGAATAAGAGGAAGAAGCCATAAATTTCAAGGACCATTCCTATCAAGGGCCAGCCAATAAGAACTATAAGTACACCACCCAGAAAGAAGCCTGTGGCTTTCACTTTGTGTTTCTGGAAGAAGAATCTGAATGTCCTTTCTAAACCAATCACAAAAGCCAGGCCAGCCACAAATAAAACCTACAAAAAAATAATTTCATAATGAATAAAAAAGTATTTGAGCACACCTTCAGAAATTTTAAAGGGGGCAATAGACTATATTTTACTAAAAGTAGATTGTTGAAATTAATGACCCTGACTTAGTCATATTCATTTCAATTTTTCAATGGGTTTATGTTGAGTAAGACTTAGCTGAATTCCACCCTGGGTATTCATAGAACATAAAAAACAACAACAACAACAGATGTCCAAAACCAGAATGCAGTCTCTTGTTACCACTATGACACTAATTAACTCTGGAAGGAAACATGAATGTGTCAAAGGGATTTTTCACAATGCTGGCACAATACAAAAGCAGACTTCATTGCAGCAAATAAATTAATTTGTAAGCACTTAATGTGAGTGGTAGTAGCATGACTTTAAGAACAATTTGTGCTGGAAAACGGGCATTACATTGAAAAAAAGTTTGTGATTTAATCAAGCAGGGGGGAAAACTGATGTACCTGGACTTCATCAAGGCGTTCAGCCTAGTCCCAAACAATTGTACTGTAAGCTTACAAAACAACTACAGGGTGGTAATTAACTATGTTGAAACAAGGTAGTAAGAAGGGTAACAATAAAGTAATGATAGTCTAACTGGATCAAAGGGTCTACTGCCATTCTGCAGGGTCAATCCTGGTACCATTTTTTGAAACCCAAATTACTGGCCAGGTTCTGGAATAGCAGAAATCCATATTGAATAGGGAGTTCTCATCAGTTTGATCAATCCTATATTTATCACAACAAAATATGCACTTTTATTGTGAGTGCATCCTCGTGATAAAGAAGGAAAGCTAGAAATCAAAGACTTATCTAGAAATGAGTTTCTGGCATATGGGAGCTACACCAACTGCCAAGTGGAAACAAGCCTTTTAACAACAGATACTTTTAATTCACTACCTCTAGCTATTTGTAGAAATTAAATATTTACAGGACTAATTAATGTGGCTAACTCATTAGGTGGCAGGCTGGTGCTTAAGGCTCCATAACCTAATGTTCTACTCAGTTACACTGAGATAAATGAAGCCTCTTGGTGTTGCTGTTCCTGGGTGCTGATCTGTGACGGGGCCTTCTTTATAACAGTAACCCGCTTATGGAATGCCCTTCTTTGTGAAGTGTGTCTGTCCCACTCATTCATTTTTAGGCAGCATTTTAAAATGTTATTGTTCATCAAAGTGTTTGGTGGTTGAAAGTAATTTTTTTCTACAGACTTAGACAATATTAGTTCTGAGGATGTTTGGTTTGTTTTCAGATATTTTAAACATTTATAATTGTTAGATACGACCCAGGGTACAAAGCTGCTGACTGTTCAACGTTTTTCACTTTGCTGTGGAGAGGAAAGGCATCAACCAAGCTACAACACCATCCTCAACTATATATGGTCAAGGTGATCCTATGATTCTCTAGTGTGCCCTAGACGAGGTGTTCCTCAAGATTTAACTCACCCGCCCCCCAGGTTATCCATCCCACTACACTGTATATTCAGAGAGAAGCGTGAATGTCACTCATGCAAAATATCACTTACATTCCCAATAGCCAAAAGTGCTTTGTCAAAAAATAGGATCATTCCAAAGAAAAGGAAAAACACTCCAAAACCTGTGAGGCCCATTCCAATTTCTGCAATAAAAAAGGAGAGAGTTAGCATTATGTAGGGGCCCCCCCAAAGCACGTAATAATAAAATACACAGAACTTTCTTTTGCAAGCTACGATCACAACATTCGCCGATGTGTATTTAAAACCAGCTCTCCCTGACAGCTGCAAATTACATTTGCCCTGTTTCAGGCAGGAAACATGCAATGATGCAGGGAGCTGCTTCATAAGGGTCCATCAAGTACAGTGGTACCTCGAGTTAAGTACTTAATTCGTTCCGGAGGTCCGTTCTTAACCTGAAACTGTTCTTAACCTGAAGCACCACTTTAGCTAATGGGGCCTCCTGCTGCCACCGCGCCGTCAGAGCACGATTTCTGTTCTTATCCTGAAGCAAAGTTCTTAACCTGAAGCATTATTTCTGGGTTAGCGGAGTCTGTAACCTGAAGTGTGTGTAACCTGAAGCGTATGTAACCTGAGGCACCACTGTATTGTACTCTGGGCTCATCCAGACTTCCTTTTGTGCAATGTATCTAGGCACAGCTCTGTGTTTTAAAGCTCTGCGTCTGAGTGCTTTTGCTTTTTTAGCCCTGGTGCTTTCCCTGTGAAAATCCACTCTTTACTGCTGAATCCACGAAAGAAAAAGTACTCGGACACTGAGCTTCAAAGTAAGAACTTGTGCCTAGAAAGTGCAGAGCAAAAGCGTAGATGAGCAAACACATTGAGTTAGAGATTCAGCTGTGATCATGCGTTTTCCTTATGTTATCTGCTTTACACCTACAACACCATTAATTTAATATGCTTGGTAACTGTATTATGATGTCTTCAGGAGAGTAACCAGCATGAAGTTTATACATGATTGAAGTAAAAACAGATCATCCAGTGCATTCTCTTTCAAAATAGAACTGGCAATATCATGTTTAAAGAAAAAGTGCCATGTCTTCTCTTCTCTCTCAAAGCCCTGCGAAATGCACAATACTACTAGTAAGAATAACTTGGAAAAAGGACAGAACACCTGCTAGTCACAGGACTGCATATGTATGTACACAATTAACAGATATAATTTATCCGGTTTACCTATTTGTATGACTTTCACACAAACCTATCTGATTAAAGAGGAGATAAGTTAAGTGGCTAAGTTTGAACCATTAATTTGAGAAGCTTGTTTCAAACTGCTGCGTTTTCTGGAAACAAAAAGGCTGCACTATTAGGGACGTTGGCAACAAGTAGAAGGGATTTTTTTTTCCAGAAGATTAGTGTCAAGTGTATTTATGTACCTGCCCACAGCAAAATGGAAATAGTCCTTACTGAATAAGCTGAGTAACTTATAAGTATCAGTTTCACCAGAAAGCTAAATCTCCGTTTAAAAGAAATTGGATTTCATTTTCAGCCAGAGATTATTTTTGCAAGTTTCATTCAGTCCAAATACTCTACAGGATAAATTCAAAGCCTCTGCAGTCACTATCTCATCTAAACAGCTGTACAATAACACTGTCAAGAACTAGGTTTTTAAAAATTATTAATGAATTGCTCTATGAATCACAACAAAAACAAGATGGATCATGTCTTCTGTCTTGGAAAAGTTATGAACAGCTCTTAAGAGAGGGTCTGGACCAATACCCTAAGAAAAAATTTAAACCACTTTGATTTTTCCAATCAAAAAATCTAAATGGAAAAAATATGCCCTGCAAACAGAAGTCTGACTTCTTAACACATAATGTATGTGTTAAAACAGACATAGTTCAAACAGTTCAAACAAGATCTATGATAAATTTTGTATTCAACAATTACCGTCTTTTTCCATATATAAGACTATATTTTTTCCTAAATTTTTGAAGTTTAAAATAAGGTGTCGTCTTATACACAAATAGTGCATGGTGCATTTTCTTAAATATGGTATATCTTATTAAGGAGTCCTCAGTTGATCAATATATTACACAAAACAGCAGTGCTCAAATCATGGAAGAAAGGTAAGCAAGCCCCTGACGGAACCCGTAAGTCCTAACCCAAAGTACCCAAAAATTTAGTCAAATCACAGTTCTGCTGAAAGCTAAAAACAGTGATTAAGGGGGTAATCATAAGTGGTAAGGGATGCAAACCTTCTCTGACCCATGTATTAGAGCAATGCAGAAAGATATGTTTTTGAGGTGTACCCCAAAATTTAAATTAAAAAACAAAACCCACTGTGATCCCATGAGGCCAGAAGGTTTTGTTTCCGCCTCCCCACCCTCATGCCTTACTTTTTTTAAAAAAGCATTGTTTACTGACTGCAGCCATAAGATCTCCTGTTCCTAAACTCTTAATGCCAAAAGTGTTTGCATCCCCCAAATTGTGTTCATTTTAAAAATAAATAAATGACCACACCCACTTTTACACTTCACCTTGAGGATTAGATGTGGGTCAGTATGGCCGTTGGCCCAAAAAAAGGTCAGCCACCCCTGAGCTAGGTAGTGCTTTGAGGATATTATTTTTCTATGCAGTAAAAGTACATACACTATTCCAACATTCTTTGCCATCCACAAATAACCAACTACAATTAAAATTAAGCTTATACACTTTCATCTCTGAGGATCACCCCATCCTTAGTGGCATCAACCAACTAGCGTTCTAAAAGAAACCTAAATTACTGCTGTACCATAAAAAGCAATCCAATGCTTATAATCTCCCCTCAGGCAAAAAGCCAACATATAAATACTGTATAAGGAAAATGGTCATGTTTTTGCGCATTGTTATAAGAATATACAAATGCTTCTGAACACTCCTTTAGTTCTGACATGACTATGCAAGATATTTGTGCAGAAAGATGCCTCTATGGTCATTGTGCATAATTTTAAATCTTGGCTTTAACTGGCACAACAAAGCAGATGCTGGCTTGGGCTTTCATATTCATATTCCTTTCAACATGTCTCAACTGTGTCATTGCATCACAAGTCTCACCACTTTCACATTAATAGTGTACGCCTCCTAATTATGCAACATCTATGAGTAATAATGGGATAGATTTATTTTAAAATAAATCATCAACAAATGCAGTACTAGTTTGTTTAACTGAGAGAATCACACACTGCACAGAAAAGGTTGCTCCTCTGAAGTTTTTCAAACTGCGGGCAGTGTAAAATATATGTCTACTCAGAAACACACCCCATTTAGTTCAGTCAGGGTGTACTGAAGTACAGCCAAATAAACCTACACCAATCATTCTACTTGGGAATGGCCTTGGAGAAAATTCAGAAGTATGGTGAACAGGTGACTACAGCAGTTTCGCTGGAAGCTATAATGAAATCTTCTAAAAATCTCTCCCCTAGTATGTGTCAGAGAATGTAGCGTTGGAAAGGACCCCAAGGTTCAAAACAATTAAAAACTTTATCAAGAATATGTATATCCCACTCTGAGTTGTTAGTATTTTTATAGCTTTGATGTTTTTGATTCTAACAGACCTGAACCTCTGATGTCACAATACTAAAGCTTGATCACTAACTTGGGAAGACCAGGGTTATTACTGTCCTCTGGGCAAATGAATTCCCACAAACTTCACACATGAGAAATTGCCCATTCTGTTAATCTGACAATCCATACTGCAGTACAACTCCCAAACTACATTTCATTTGTCAGAGTAGACTTCCAAACCACAACTATGCTCCAGGCAGACATTCCTAAAACTCCCAAATTCTTACACTCCTCTGCCCCTTCATTCTACCTTCCCCAAAGCATTCTATGCCAGATCCCTGCCCTAAAGATTTTTCTCCAAAGGCATTTAACTTCTAAATGAATGTGACATTTGCTCACATTCTTATCAACTGAACTTTCTCTTTCTTTTCTCACTTAGTTCCATTTACCATTTTCCAGCTACCTGAACATGTACAATATATTGAGATGTTTATTGTTCCAAAACAAAAATAGTAAAATACAGCAAGAAGTCACTTTCTCAAGCTTTCTTTTTTAAAAAATGTTGTTGCTGCCGTTTTTGTAGGGACATCTATTGGCACCCTGTATTTAAGCACTAGCTTGGCAGTCACAGGTGACAAGGAACTTCATGCAGGTGAGCGGGAAGGCTGGCAGAGAATGGTCAGAGGACTCCATCCCTCCCAAGTGCTCAGTTTAAAAACTAAGCAGGCTGGAAACAGGAGAGAAGCAATGGGCATTTCTCCCATCATGGAACCCAAGCTGGCATACATGGGGCAAAGCACCGAGCAGACCCAGATCTGCTTAGCTTCCCTGGGCTGATAATCTTAGGGAACTTCATGACAGTGTGGTGCAACGGTTACGGAGTGCTGGACTAGGACCTGGGAGACCAATGTTCAAATCCCCCACTCAGCCATGGAGATCACTGTGTGTGATGCTGGGCCAGTCACTCGCTCTCAACCTAACCTACCTCACAGGGCTCTTGTGAGGCTAAGGTGGGCTGAGGAACTACATTGGCTACTCTGAGCTCCTTGTAGGAAAAGCGGGATATAATGCAATTAATAACTATGGAATCCTATGATTGTAGAGTTGAAAGGGACCCCCAAGGATCTTCTAGTCTTTGCAATGCGGGAATAGGCAGGTGGCCCATTTGGGTGACAGGCAACTAATAAATCTATTAATAAAAATAATAAACAGTATGTGTAACAAACCCACCCACCACAAATCAGCACCATACTCTAATCATCGGAGCTAACTGGCGTGACCTACTGTATAATAGCAGTAACAGCACAGTAATTCAAACTGCTTTATTCCACACACCCAAACACATGTCCTATTGCTATCTTTAAACAGCATCCCTACTTGCAAGGCTCCTCTATTCCCCAAACCTGAAAATATTAAGTTATATTTCTCTCTCTCTCTCTCAGGAACAGCAGCAATGTTTGCTCAAAGCGTGTGCTTTGGGTTTGTTGAGGAGAGGGGCGGTCCCCCCCCCCACTCCTGAACTCCCCCTCCCCAAGTGGCCCTAGTAATAGTACTGTAATGGCACTAATGGTGGGCGACTCATTGGCTGAAGGGTTTCCCCAGCCCCCTCCTCCCCGGCCCGTGACATAACTCTGCGCCCGTCCCCCTCAAAGCCAACCGTAACTCTTCCTTCCCCTCCCCCACGCCCCCTCCCCAGGCCCCCCCTCCACACACCCCTTCACCCACTCTGAGTGTCCGTGAGGGAAATCATGGCGACGGCGGGAGCAGCGCGGAGTGCGCGCTGACAGGACTCTTAGAGGCGGGAGCCGCCGGCGGAAGAGCGAGCGGACGAACGGAGCCGCCTCAGTAGCGAGCAGCGGTAGCAGCAGCCGCCACGTCTTCCGGAAACACGCAGCCCCGCCTCGCCTCGCTTCCCTCAGCTCAGGCTGCCGGACCCTCCCGGCTGCCGCTCCTGCCGCCGTCGCCGCCAACGAACCAAAGCGCCGTCCCATTGGGCAGGGCGCGCTGAGCCAATCAGCGCCCGGCTTATTCCTATCTCCCCGCCCCCCGCCACCTCAGAGCCACCGAGATGAGGATGACGACGGCGACGGAGGAGTACTGAGAGCGCGCGCGTGGCAGCGGCTAAGAGTGGAAAGGGGCGGAGCGGGGCCGCCTCGGGCCAATCCGGAGAGAGCGCGGCTCGCCGGCGATTGGGTTGGCTGCGCCGGAAGTGGGCGTTCGAGAAAGGAGGTAGTGGGAGGGGCGAAGGGGGAAGCCGGCAGGAGCTTCCGGAAAGGAGAGCATTCAGTGTCTCGAGGAGAAGGAGAGAGGGAGGAGCCCGGGATGTTCGCTCCTAGGTAGGTAGGTGCGGGTGGCGGGAGTCGCTGGGAAGGGGCTCGTCCTTATGGGTGGAGTGGTCTGAGGAGAGGGCGGAGCACCTGCTCTGCCTGTGGAAGGTTGTAAGGCAGCTTCCCATGTTTCTAGCCTGGTGTTTTGTTTCTCTTCCCTTTCCATCCCCTTTCGCTTTCCATGGAATTGCAGGGTTGGAAGGCACCATGAGGGCCATCTAGTCCAGGGGGTAATTTTTGCCCAATGTGGGACTTGAACTCACGATGCTGAAATTAAGAGTCGCCTGCTCTACTGACTGAGCTATCGGTGTGCCTCGTGCCTCTTCTAATGTTGTTGTTTTTTTAAAAAAAATAATAGTAATTTTTATTAGTTTTCAATTACATTCCAATAATAGCCTCATTATAACAATACCAATTTAATGCTGTATTGTTTTTAACACTCGATTGGGAGCCGCCCAGAGTGGCTGGGGAAACTCGGCCGGATGGGCGGGGTATAAATAATAAATTATTATTATCACAATACCAAATTATCGTGTCTCTTCTATTGTTAAGCCTGTGGACGTGGGTTGCTTCTGTGTATTGGTGATACACAAGCCGCTTTAGGAGATGTTAGCTGGGCCTAAAGTGTTCCCTCCCATTGTAAAGAAGGGTAGAGGGAAGAAAGTGGAAAGAAACTCAGCCTAGTCCAGGAGTTCGGAGGGCACCAGGTTAGCAAAGGCTGATCCAGCAGGACAATTGATTCAAAACTGCCTGCGGGGATATGTTGGAAAACCTGCGCGGATATGTTGGAAAACCTGGTGCTGGAAAGACTTTTGGTTTCATGAGTGGCGAGTTCTTATTAGGAAAGTATTTCACGTATAGCAGGGATGGGGATCCTGTGCCGCCTCTGATGTTTTTGCACTCCAACTCCCATCATCCCTAACATGTTCGTGCTCTGGTGGGTGTGGGGCCCCCCTTGACAGTTGCCTGATGTCACCTGTCAATCTTGTGACATCCCTGTCCCTGCAAACTCTGCTTTTTTGCCCAGGCAGCTTAAAATCAAAACACACTGAGGAGTAACAAATTTATTACGTGATAAGTTTCTCTATATAAATAATAATAAATAACTTATAAAATAAATAGTACAACAGGAAGTTTTATGCAGTCGAAGATGTAGTAAAATAAATAGCAATGTAACATGAATAATGTACTGAATAACAAATTTATTAGTCTCTAAGATGTAGCAAGACACTCTTGTTCTTTTGTGTAAGAGGACGAGTCGTACATAAAACAAGTTAGTTAAAAAAATCCTTGCTTAACTACGGGTGTCTATGTGGATATATGTGATGCCCTCTAGTGGCTAAAATATATTCCATAAAGATAAGACAATTTTATATCTGTGGGCTAAGCAAATCCAAGTATAAATGGGCAAAAATAGTCGAAAGCAAAAATCTGCAAAAGGCACCTTGAAGGCATTTTGTCCCTGAGCTCAGGGCAGTATAAATTTTGCTCGTAATAAATTAAATTATGAGTGACTGGCCCTAGATCATGAGCAATATAATCCGATGCATGTTGATACTCTGAGTTTAATGGGGCTGTACTCCAAGATTAGCATACATGGCATTGCAGACTCAATGGGTGAGTGGCAATTTGAACATGAGCCTATCCCATGCCCACATAAGAAAATGTGACTATAGTCCATAGAAATGGGAGGTGGACAATAATGACATATTGAGTGTGGTTCCATATTGGAGTGGGATCTTAGCGTGGCTCTTTCTAGTACAGATGGAAGTGTTTAAAGGCTCCCAAAGAGATTTATATGGTGCTAATGAACACAGAGTTTCTGCAATAGAAGCTGTTCTGCTTGCCTGCCGGCTTTCATAAAATTAATAATATGCTTTCAAAATTACCTTTACAGAAAGAAATTATTAGAAAATTGCTTTGGTCAATATTTCACCAAGTGAGGTGCCTTTCTAACTTTGAAGATGACAACAACACTATCAGGTAACCAGATCTTTGGCTACAGTTTATTTGTTCCATTAGCAATAAACCTATGTTGTTCCTCTGATTTCCTCCCCCATTTATTTTCTGGATAAAACTTGTGTGCATGGGCCATTTTGCTTGTTGTTCTGACTGTATAACAAATTACTTGAATACAAAGGCAGTGCTTGGGGTACCTGGTAGTTTGGGATAAAGAGCTGGGCATGGAAGTTTCATAAGAGCTCAGGAGTTCAGCCCCAGGAAGCATTATTCTCTTCAAAGGAAACCAGCATATAGGAAGAAGGGGTGGGTGAGAGGGCCCACCAGCCAAAGAAGACGCCCTCTCCTGATTTAGAGTAAGGTTTAAAGAAGAGTTCCTAATAGGAAGAGTAAAAAGGCTCTGCTAAACTCCTTTTGAGTCCTGGGGTGGGTTAATGTGGCCTAGGACAAGGGAACAAACATATGTTTGCATGGCAATCTTTCTACCTTAGTGCTGGAAGAGGAATTGGCATCTGTTGACAGTGAACTGCAGGCTCTGGAGATCCAGGTACAAGAACTTCTTGAACATCAGCAGGAGCTCATTCAGAAAAAGACAGTGCTAAAGAAGAAGATAAAACAGTTTTCTGACACAGAGAGCGGGAGCAGCAAAGATATTGAACCAGCAGCAGAAGACTGGAACAAGGAAGGTCAGCACTTACTATTTTTAAATCCTTGGGCTGTCATGAAAACTACTGTCAAACAGTTCAAAACATTACTGTTGCTTGCTGTTAAAATAGCATGAGATGTGACTTTGCAGCAAGGTCGTTTCTTGTAGCTTATTTTGAAGGGGGGGGTGTGTAAAGATGTTTTTCATTATTATTATTTTTTAAATGAGCATCTGTTAAATGAGATAAAAGCATTAAGGTTGCCGCGGCTGCCAGAATAAATATTCTACAGATAGCATGACTTCATCTCCATTTCTTCACTTAAGTTTGCAAATTCTTTCCCAGTACACCTACCTACCATAAATGAATGAGTTTGGCCCACAAATGGCCAATGGAAAGCCTTCCACTCAGCCATGCTCTTGGCTTTTAGCAGGTTTCTTCATATTTGTCTTCAGGGTGGTGGTTACACTGACATAAATGTATGTCTCCTGTATTTCCCCTCCACTTCCCAAGAAAGGTTTAGCCTGCTGGTCTTAGGGTTCTTAGTATTCACCCCCAAATGAGCATTTGAATTGCAAGGGGAAGACAGAAATCAGATCCCAGGTAACTCAGGCTGCATTCCTACACACACTTACCTGGGAGTAAGTCACATTGAACTCAGTGGGATTAACTTCTGATTAGAAATAGGCTCATTTGTTGTTCACCACAGACCTATGTACACTCATGGAGGCAACGCTTACAATTTAGGGGATTAATGTCAACTTGGAAGACAATGTTTACCTTGGTGGGGGTGGGATTCTGTGATCAAATGAACTCCAGTGTTGTTTTTAAATGTACGGCTGCTATTTCCTTTTCACAGATTTTTCCTGGTCTGCAAACGTCAGAGATGCGTTACAAAATAACTTTAAGCTTCGAAAATTTAGGCCTTTGCAATTGGAAACAATCAATGTTACAATGGGCGGAAGGGATGTATTCCTTGTGATGCCTACTGGAGGGGGAAAGAGTCTGTGTTACCAGCTGCCAGCAGTATGTTCTGACGGTATGTACTTGTACTTATAAGCAAAATGACAATAATAAATAATAATAAATAAAAAAATTTATTTATACCCCGCCCTCCCCAGCCAAGGCCGGGCTCAGGGCAGCTAACAACCAATAATAAAAACAAGTTGAATGAATACAACTTAAAAACAAGATTAAAATGCAACATTAAAACATTAAAATGCAGCCATTTGAGACTGAGAGCATAGCTTTTCAAGCTAAATTGTGATCTTGCTGTATATTTGTAACCGAATACAGATCGTGTTTAGCACCAATTGTAGCCTCAACATGACTGAAGCTAGACATATCTGCCATTAGAGGCGTGTGTGGAGAATCCTGCTATTTGACATGTGCTGAAACAGAACTTTTCCGGTGACTTGAGACGAGGGGTTATTTTTCATTTCAGGCTTCACACTTGTGATTTGTCCTCTGATCTCACTAATGGAAGACCAGCTAATGATGTTGGAGCAGCTGGAAGTTTCTGCGACTTTACTAAACGCCTCAAGCAGTAAGGTATGGCTGGCTGCCCAGCAAGGTGGCTGGCAGCCAAACATGGGCATCAGTATTTGGCATCTGAAAGAAATGCTGACATGCTTACCTCATATATTAAAAGCTGCGGCCACAAGTCACTGATGTCCCTTCTGCTTATTCGTATGACTTGTACAAGTTGCATGTGAAAGGGCAAAAAAATTATCTGAAATAGAATATTCATGAAAACCCTCTCTAGAATGTTGATATTGAAGGGGTTCAGTTCGCCTGTTCTTTTGTACACAGTCTCAGTGGGGTTGGGTTCCGTGCTTAATTTCTGGAATGGGATTTGCTGTCCTGGAAAGGTTAACTTTTGACTTAGAAGGCGATTAGCTGCCTCCAGTATCCCAGGTATATGGAGCCATGCGATAGGAACTCGTTGAGAAGAGAAGGGCATTCTGCCTGTCTGCACTAAAGCTTTACAGTCTGGATTGGCTACAGCTAGTCTGTGTGTGAATCTTATATAAACCTCCTTTAAGGCATCATTCTGATTAGAGCAGGTCAGCCCAGGAATGAAAGCCAATGGGGACAGAATTGAACTTGAGTCTAGGAGTATTTGATTAAGTTGCATGGTTCAAAAATCTTTTTAAAATATAGAAACCCTGTATTCATCATTTGGTGCACCATGGCCACAGGTGGTTTTTGAACCTCAGTTTGACAAACAACTGGTGCTTAGATAGACGCATGATGCATGTATACCCAATTTTGTGGGTTTTGATAGGGCAGAACTGGAAGTTGTTTGCATTACATTTTCTGAAAACGCATAGACATGCATTCCACACGTTCCTCAGCTGATGAAATTGATCATAGCTTGGGAACATACAGTTTTCATCTTCATAATATGAACAAGTCAGGAGCTTTCTTGATGACTGTAAGGCAGTGAATGTTCCTTAAAGCTAGGGTACTTGTTCTTGAGTGTTTATGAAAGGTTTTCCTATCCTTAGCAGAGGTGGTCTGCTGAGATGGGATTCTAGATTTACATACTTGTAGAATTTGTATTGCACCCTTCGTTGCAAAGTGATCTCTGGGTGGGTTGCAACAATAAAAACACACCATAAAATACACCAGTAAGCTTTAAAATCAAATAAGCAGCATATCTCTGTACAATTCACATTGTCTGTTCTTCCAGTACAAACAAAGTGCAGGACTGATACAAGTCTTTGAGTTGCCAAGAGAAATTATCTTACCACTTTGCAAGGGGTACTTAAGAAAGGAAACCGCTGTTTTCACTTTTCTTAAGGTCTTGTTTAAATGGAATGAGGATTTGTCATGGCTGTCACTCAGCTTCTTTAATGCTAGCATATGTTGCCATCTTGTTCTTGCTTCTCCTGGCACAATTCCATAAAGCAGCCCTCCTCCTTCCGACTCAGGCTGATTTGACCCATAAAAAGCCGAGTTGTTAGCTGCCCCTAAAGTTTTGTGATGAAATAATAATGATTTCTATACCGCCTTTCATCCGAGGCTAACAGGGCAGTTTACAACATAAAAATACAAAAATACGTAATATAGTAACAAACAAAAACAATACCCCGCAGTTTAAACGGCCACAAATTTTTATAATTAGGCAAAGGCCTGGGAGATTAGAGAAGCAGTTGTTGGTTATTACGCTGCACTGCCATTTTGATGCCCCCGGTATGTATGCCAAGCACCCTTTTTTTATTCCCAAATAGGAACACGTGAAGTGGGTTCATGCTGAAATGCTGTCTCGCAGTTCGCAGCTGAAACTCATTTACGTGACCCCAGAGAAGATTGCGAAAAGCAAGATGTTTATGTCAAAGCTGGAAAAAGCTTACCAAGCAGGAAGGCTTACGCGCATTGCAGTGGATGAGGTTCACTGCTGCAGCCAGTGGGGACACGACTTCAGGCCTGGTATGTCTGTCTAGAAGGAATTCCATGTTACCAGAAAGAGCTTTGACTCTTCTCCACTAGAAACTATTAAGCCTCATTGCTCTTCTCACTTCATTTTTTTAGTTGCATTGATCAGTTCCCTGTGCCCAAGGTTCTTTCTCCCTCCCCGGACCACATCTATTACTCTGCTGCAGCATCCTGCCACATGGAAATATTGGTGGTGGTGGGGAAACTGCTTTTCAGAGAAACACATCCGCCATTACTGTTTGTGGTTTTTAAAAGGGATTTTTTTTTAAAAAAGTGTTGTTTTTCAAAAAAGGTGATCGATTTCTGCAGTGTTGAGATTTGCCTAGTCATAACTGCAAAACGATTTTGTCACTTACAAGTAGCTTAAGCAGAGCTAGACTAATATAGTGGCACCAAATATTGGGGTTTTATTTATATATCTTTAAAATATTCCTGCTTTTTTGTCTTCCACTTCTGTTCAGATTACAAGCTGCTTGGTATCTTAAAGCGGCAGTTTCCTAATGCTCCATTGATTGGGTTGACAGCAACTGCAACAAGCAACGTTCTGCATGATGCTCAGAAAATTCTTTGCGTTCAGAAGTGCATCACTTTCACGGCATCATTTAATCGGCCCAACCTATATTATGAGGTATCCCTGTTGAGTGTGTTTTTGGCTTTGGGAAGATAGCGAGCTTCTCAAATATTCCTAGAAAAGGCTAAGAAACCAAACATGCATGTGTAGGATTTAAGCTGGTTTATCATATTCATAGAGTGTTTTAGTTTAACTCCACCATTCTTGTACTGGAGAGAGTCATGAATTCTGGGCAGTTTCACACCTAACGCACTAGACTATCTCCTTTATAAACTTTCATTGTTACAGTTGTTTACTTTTGTTGTAAGTCATGTTGGGCACATGCGTTCTTTTCTACAAAACTTACCAATTCAATTTCTTAAATACTACTGTAATGTTGGGAATTAAAAGGCAGAGTCTGGAATGATGTGTTGCTTTTCAGAAGTGTATATAAATATGGAGCTGGGTGCATTTTAGCAAAATAACTCAGTCCATCCCCGCATAGTCTGAATATAATATGGAAATATGCAGATTTGCTCAGATCACTTCTTTGCTTCCAGGACCAGATGAGCTAAGAACTTGGACTTCCTAGTTGAGACCTTCTTTAAAAAAGAAAACAAGGGTTTTGGGGCGTGAGGCACTGTAGAGCATTGATGGGGAGATGTGGCCACCCAGATATTGCTCCCATCATCCCAGGACATTGGTCATGCTGACAAGGGCCGTTGGGAGATGGGATTTAATGTTTGCAGAACAGTTAAGGTGGCCCCAATCAGTCATAGCAGGGAGTGTTTCTATTCCAAAAGGTAAAGGGACCCCTCACCATTAGGTCCAGTCGTGACCGACTCTGGGGTTACGGCACTCATCTCTCTTTATTGGCCGAGGGAGCTGGCATACAGCTTCCAGGTCATGTGGCCAGCATGACTAAGCCGCTTCTGGCAAACCAGAGCAGCGCACAGAAACGCCGTTTACCTTCCCGCCAGAGTGGCACCTATTTATCTACTAGCACTTTGACATGCTTTCAAACTGCTAGGTTGGCAGGAACGAGGACTGAGTAACGGGAGCTCACCCCGTCGTGGGGATTCGAACCGCCGAATGTACACAAGGCTAAAATCACTTAGCAGTTTTCTGAAGAGATGAAAAATTTAACCTGTATATGTGTGCTATTGAATGCCTGTTTCTCAAAATATGCATTTTAGGTTCGACAAAAGCCATCAGCTGCTCAGAATTTCATTGAGGACATAGTTAAACTCATCAATGGAAGATACAAAGGCCTTTCAGGTGAACTTTGTAATGAAAATGAGTGCTGACTTCTTAAAGCACGGTAGCATCTGTAGGAGACCACCCCTTGTAAGGTAGCGCTCCCAAGTCTTCCCAAGCCCTGCTTAAGTACTGCATAGCTTGGAGTCCATTTGTTGATTTCATCGGTGTAAAATTATTTTGATACAGGAATTATCTACTGCTTTTCCCAGAAGGATGCTGAACAGGTTACTATGAATTTACAGAAGCTGGGGATTAAGGCAGGTGCCTACCATGCCAACATGGAACCCAAAGATAAGAGCAGAGTTCACAAGCGATGGTCTGCCAATGACATTCAGGTGAGTTGTGTGAGAACTCCATCACTTCCTCCATTCAGCTTGCATCCCTCATGTCCTGATGATCCTTATTGCCTTTGTCTTTCAGGTGGTAGTGGCCACCGTTGCCTTTGGCATGGGAATCGACAAGCCAGACGTGAGGTTTGTAATACACCATTCAATGAGCAAATCCATGGAGAACTATTACCAAGAGAGCGGGCGTGCAGGTATGCTCAACGGAGATGAGATTCCAGGTAGATGTATGTACTCATATGTACCTATGCTTCTGATGGGGGGAAAGAAAAATCTGCTTCTTAATATTTCCTTCTAGGTCGGGATGACCAGAAAGCCGACTGCATCTTATATTACGGTTTTGGGGACATATTCAGAATCAGCACAATGGTGGTGATGGAAAACGTAGGGCAACAAAAATTATACGACATGGTTTCATATTGCCACAACATGAGCAGGTAAGTGATTTTGTCTGAGGTTGTCCTTTTTTTGTTTTAAGCTACGTTTTTCTCTTGAGTTTACTGTAAAATGCGGTGTAGGCCAGGATGTTGAAGTTAGTATCTGAAAATACCAAGCCTCCAAATATATTATTTTCTGTGAAATTTTTTTAAGGAAAGCAGGGTTGTGCAGTTGGTCACTTTTGCCCTGTGAGGCATCCTATGCTCTTTTGCTGTCTGCCAGTATATTGATTTTTTTTTATATTATTTTTTTAATTCTCAGCGGTCCAACAGAGTCTTAAGTGGTTGCAAAAATAACTTTTGCTATTGAATGTTTTGTGCTACCAGACTATGCTGTCTTGGGTAGGAAGAGCAGGATATAAATTTAATAAATGAAACATTAATCTCATCTCTGTTTTGTTTTTGTTTTTAAAAACCCAAAAGTTAAATGCCAAGCATCATGTTTTCCCAGGTCAACAAGGTCAAGCCCAGACCTATAGATACCTGCTGCTGAGACTGGCTCCTTTTTTACAAAAACAGGGAATTCAGAGTGCCAATGCTACATTTGCATTAGAACTGTCAGTATTTTGAGAAAATCCAAACTTGATAGCAAGGAAACCTAATTTTTCAAGGGTGACAGGTTTCTTCAATTCAGAAAATACCCACCATGTTCACTTTTCATATTTTAGTAGCTGCAGAAATATCTCAGACATTTAAAAGAAATGACTACAGGTTTGCATGGGTTGTATCTATGTGTCCGTTTGCACTGTTGTTTCTCTCTGTAATCCCATATTAAGGGCTGCGCACAGAAAATTGGAATCTACTTCTCATGTGTCAAGTAGTTCCTCTCTGCCTCAGAAATCTATATATTTCAAGTGCATGCTTAATGTCTGTAGGTAATTTAAATTGCTGAAAGGCAGTGAGTACCAGAGAAATTAAGCTCCTATTCAAATTAATGGACTTTAATTTCAGTGAGACTTGTTTATCCCACATTCTTCCATCCATTTGGTTATTGAATACAGCACATGTCTTACTTGCAATGTTTACTCTGCCAGTTGTCTTATAGCCTTTCCATAGGAGCCACATGCATTGGGTTGCATCCTAACCCCAGGTATTTGTACTTGCAGATGTCGCCGAGTTCTCATAGCACATCACTTTGACGAGGCTTGGGACTCCGCCAACTGCAACAAAATGTGTGATAACTGTTGCCGAGAAGAGTGTAAGTAAAAAAGATTTCAAACCGGGAAGTTTTTTCAGACGCAAAACCATTTTTCTTATCCAATTTATATAGTTCATTAATCTGATGGTAACGTAGCCAATCCACTTTATCTTTAAATTGCTCAAATGGTTTTAATTTATATCCTTCCTTATCTTCCAACAGTAAATCAGAGTATCTCAACCAATTCGTCTCCATATTTAACTTTTTCAGGGCCTTTGCTTCCATTGGTGAAAGCCACCTAGGTGTTTTCCTTTCTAAGAGATCTTTATCTTTTATCCAAACATTGAATAAGGATTTTCTAATTATATGATTTTTGAAATCTTTGTGGGCCTTTATCTTGTCATACCATAGATAAGCATGCCACCCAAAAACATTGTCAAACCCCTCCAAATCAAGAACTTCAGCATTGTCCAATTTAATCCATTCCTTGACCCAACAAAGAGCTGCTGCATCAAAATATATCCTCAAGTCTGGCAGAGAAAATCCCCCTCTTTCTTTTGAATCTGTTAATAATTTGTATTTAATTCTGGGTTTTTTCCCCTGCCAGATAAATTTAGACAATGCTTTCTGCCATTCTTTAAAACATTTCACATTATCAAGGATTGGTAGGGCTTGAAATAAAAACAGCATCTTAGGCAATGCATTCATCTTGACCACAGATATTTGGCCCATTAATGATAATTTTAAGTTTGACCAAATCTCAAGATCTCTCTTAATTTCCCTCCATAATTTCTCATAGTTATCTTTATATAAATTCAAATTTTTACTTGTCAAATTTACACCTAGATATTTAACTTTTTTCACCGAAGGCAACCGCTTTCTTGAGCATAAGCTAGCTATCTGTTGTTGCAGAACAGCAAGTGCCCTTTTCTTCAGCCACATTGGCTTGCACCAGGCCACACCCACATGGGTGGGACTTGGTGCTCACACCAAGGAACAACTTGCTACAGCTCCGTTATTACAGTTCAGTTACAACTTACCTTTAACATGCATGCCAGCAATTTTTCCAAAATGTTGGTTGGCCCAGGGAAGGAGAGTGTACCACGCTGGAGAGAGCTGCATTCTTTGTACAGTCGTACCTTGGTTCTCAAACGCCTTGGTACTCTCAAGTTTTGGCTTCTGAATGCTGCAAACCTGGAAGTAAGTCTTCCGGTTTGCGAACGTTTTTCGGAAGTCGAACGTCTGACGCTGCTTCCGCTTGACTGCAGGAAGATCCTGCAGCCAATCGGAAGCCGTGCCTTGGTTTTCGAACTGTTTTGGGAGTCAAATGGACTCCCGGAATGGATTAAGTTCGAGAACCAATGTACCACTGTAATGCCCACATTTTTTGTTTCCTTTAGCTTGGATTCACCATTCACTGAGAAAGCTTTGCTAATGGCAGTAGGTACTCGCATCCTCCAGCTATGGGTTGAGAGGTTCAAAGCTAGAGGTTTTTCATATGTGGAAGCCTGCCGGGGATATGTTGAATTTGACGCCTGTTTTGGTCTCTCCAGTTCCTGCAGCTAACAGTTTGTGTTTTGTTCTGTCTCTTCCTCCCACCTGGTGACGCTTAGCATTTGAGAAGATGGATGTGACAGGGCACTGCCGGGATCTTGTCAATATTTTAAAGCAAGTGGACCAAATGAGAGAGAAATTCACTCCTCTGAAGCTGATTGATGCCTGGTTAGGGAAGGGTTTGTCAAAACTGGGAGTAGATGTTGTTTCTCCCAAGCTTCCCCGTGATACACTGGAGAGAATTGTTGCCCATTTGATACTGCAGCAGTACCTGAAGTAAGTATTGAAACAAGAAGCCTATTTACATACCTCCATGCCTTGTATAACACCCCCCCCCCCCAATTTTATTACAGCTAACCTGTGGCCCTATAGATTTCGTTGGGCTCCAACACCCACCAGTCCTAACCAACATAGCCAATTGCTAGGAATGGCAGGATTTGTAGTTCCAGCAACATCTGGTGGGGCAGAGGTTAGCCCGCTCTGTTCTGTTAGCTCAGTGTTAACTGTACAAATTCAAAGGAAAAGATTTTATGGGGCACTAGGCTTAGCAATAGACCCCAAAATACAGTGGATGCTCCCCCATCCCATTTCCAAAGCCAAATATCCATAAAACATGAGCCTCAATTCTGCTGTGTTTCAGTCAAGTATTCCCCACCCTTTTTAAACTGCTCTACCTCTCCCCTTTTCATACGCAAAGGCTTAATTTATTTCAGGGAAGACTTCAGCTTCACAGCATTTGCTACAATATCCTACGTGAAGATAGGACCCAGAGCTGATCTTCTGAGAAACAAAACTCATGTTATCACGATGCCAGTGGTAATGAGCAAAAACAGTATTGCTAAGGTATATTATTATTATTATTCCTGTTATTTTTCTAGGTTTAATACTGTGTTAGGCGTCTAATAACAGTAGCTTTGTCCCCTTTTCTAATTTTCATGGGAACTTGTTTCATGTGTGTTAGCAAGTGACACAAATCACAGAAAGACAAATTAGAGCTTTAAAAGCTTTCTGTCCAAAATAATTCTGAGCAGGCAGCACAGTGTTTTTGTTAATACTGACCCCCCTCCATGCAAGAGGGGTCAAACTATAGTTGAATGTTCCACAATAACAAAAAATAGGGCTTGTTGCTATGGCTGAAATTTTTCTTTCAGCAGTGACATTATGGACTTTACATGGTCTGTATTGTTGTTCTTTGTCGTTTTTTATACCCACCTAGATCACTGTACTCTTTCCACTCACCCTTTGTTGGGTTTACTTGTGTGTGATTGTGTGTGTGCTCTGTGCAGATAACTGTGAGTGCACTACATGAATGAGCAGTATAGTTGCTGTGAAACTATGTGGTGTCCACGCTCTTAACGTGACACTGCTCGCAAAGCCCTGTTCTACCAAAGCGGAGCCATCAGGAGAAATAGGAGAAGCGTCAGGAGACGATAGGTGGAAAAAAGACTGGTAGAGCTTCATCAATGCTAGGATGCCTGAAGACAAGGGAGATTAATAGGAGGGTTCTCAGGACCCTGGATAGGCCCCAGGAGAGCAGACAACCAAGGAGCCAGATGTACTCCCCACTTGCCCTTCTGGGCTGGGACAGACTTCCTCTGCATGTGACTAGAGGTGGGCGTGGCCTCACCTGTGCAGGTAACAAAAGCATAGGACTGGCCGCCATCTCTCTATGACTACTTTCATTGTAGAAGCAACATCTGCTTAGCCAAAGAGCCAAGAGAGGACAAAGGGACTGTCTCCTTATGAGATAGTTTCCAGGTGTATGTTACTTTTCTAAGATAAGTCTGCCTTCTGGGATCCGATTATGAACAGAATGTCAGTAAACTCTTTTTATACTTTTATAGAAGACTGCGTCGTGTCTTATCTTTTATGAGGGAATGAGGGGAAAATACCAGAACAGTTATTATAGAGGCTTTAGCGAGCCTGAGCAAACGTATCGGCTGTGAGTTTAAAAAGGGGAATGCTACTCTGCTAAATTGTGAACTTGTTTACACAGGTTGGAAAGGCTATAATCAAACAATATATCCTCTCCTGCATCCCTGAACATTCCCACATAAACTTGGCAACACCCACTTTTGTGCAGACCCCCAATGTCCAAGGACAGATGACCTTGCTGACCCCACCCCAAATTAGCCGCTCCTGCAATACTGGAAGAGATAATGGGGGAAGAAGTAAAATTTCAACATCTAGTTTGAAGTCAGAGCATGCATGCTAACAAAAATTGTTTTGATTGTCAGGTCAAATCTCCATTATCCAGCCGAGGAAGCTCATCCGGAAAGAAAACGGATGTTGCACGTAAAAAAAGGGGAAGTGAACATAAACCGCCTCATTCAGAGAAACGCATCCAAGCAAAAAAGATTAAAATGGAAGAGGAAGAGGATGACGACGATGACGACTTGCTGTTCATCGATGATTCCTAGAGTATTTTGTTTGTATGTTACTTTTCAACTTCAGAATAAATTGGGAGTTGGAAGAAATGCCAAGCAAGCGACGGGGCTGGAGAAGAGCAGAATTTGCCCCCAAGGCTGCTAGGCCCTCACTCATCACATCGCCAGGCTTCTGGCATTGTGCTGGTTTTTCTAGGTCTCCCTTATCCTAGCCCTTGTTTTGGATTATAACGCAAGCGTGATGGCTGGCTGGGCAGGGAGGTAATGGGTAGGACTCTTGCTTTCCACCAGAAATATAAGGCAGTATGACTTCGTTCTTAAAATCCATTATGTAACCTTCTTAAATTGCCTTGAATATCTTGTTCTGGGTCAGGATGTAAATAATACACATTCACCATAATTCATGGTATTTGTAAGGACTAAGATATTGCATGACTTTGCATACTCAGAAATGTTGTATATATGCTATGTATTAAAATGTTTTTTGTCCCACAAAGTTAGTTGTGCCTCTCCTGCTGTGATATGTGTGGACCAGCTTGATGGCTGGAGTGCCCACCTTAAAATTGTGTTTTTATTATTCTAAAAAAAGCTCAACAACTTCAATCCTGAAAAAAACTTTGGTCGGCCTTCACTTCATCAAATGGCCCTCTTTGAAAAAAGTTTGGACACCACTGAGTCATATGGTGTTTGTAAAGTTATGGAACCCCCAAGCTTCACTACACTCTTCAGCACTAGCTAAAAAGATTCTTGTTCAGGCAAGGGTACCATGATATTTAGTATTTTAACTTTTGTATGTTTTAAAGTATGGTTGTGATTTTATTTTATTTTTTACTGTTTTATCCTTTGTTGAACTGCTTTGAATTTTCACAATGGTGTATAATTATTCTGAAAGGAAAATGAAGAGTGTGTTAATAAGTCCATCAGCAGCTGGAGCATGGCAGTTAAATATAAGTACATAGTAATTCAAAAGCAGGGTATTTACTTGCAAGGGCATAAATGTCTCTGCCATGCCCTGTTTCTCAATTCTAGTGCTGTGTTTTTGGCCACAGTGAACTGAATAGACCTTGGGCTGTTTCCAGAGGCAGCTATATTGTAAAACCTGGCGACATGCTGTAATAGAGGCAAAGTGCATAGTGGGAACCTAACTACTTCCAATGAAGTAGAACAGTTACTCTTTTTAAAGGGACCTTCATTGGGTAGCTGCTTCTCCCAAGCAAAGTTACTTGACCGACCCAGACCACTACAGTGCAATTCAAGTTATGGGATGTTTTTAATTTTTTCAAAATAAAAATACATTTTAAATTGTCATCCCAGCATTACCCAAGTCCTGAAATTTTATTTTGAAAGCTGACGAATCAACAGGTTCTCTCACTTACCATTTACATGTCCTACTGAGCAGACCCTGAGGAACCCTCCTTACAGACCTATGTTTAGTTCTGTATCACTGGCTGCAGTGTTCCAGTATCCGTGCCTCCCAGGGGGTAGGGATAAAGCCCATCTGTGTGTAAGTGAAAGTGGCCTCCAGCATAGTTAGAAAAATAATTTAAAGAAGCAAATAGATAATCAAAATCTATCTAAAGTTTCAGCACTTCCAAACCATTTTTTTTTGGGGGGGGGGAGGAAGAAAGAGAAATAAGCACTGCTGTTTTTTAAAAAGCATTTCAAAATGCTTAAACTTTGGCAAAATTATGCCTATAATTTTTAAACTGCAAATAATTGAATCTTTTATTTTAACATCTGTTTATGCAAACTGCTTTTGCATGATGCAAGTAAAATACAAAATATTCAATATGTAAGCCCCACTGAACCTTATATTAAGTCTGTACTAGATACAGTGGTACCTCGCAAGACGAATGCCTCGCAAGACGAAAGAGTTTTTCGTTTTTTTGAGTTGCTTCGCAAGACGAATTTCCCTATGGGCTTGCTTCGCAAGACAAAAAAAACGAAAACGTCTTGCAAGTTTGTTTCCTTTTTCTTAAAACCGTTAATACCCAGGGTGACTTCGAGGAGCAACTCAATAGCACGCGGTGTGGTAGCCTTTTTTTGAGGTTTTTGAAGACTTTGGTGATTTTGAAGACTTTGGGAAACCGTGCTTCGCAAGACGAAAAATTCGCAAGACGAAAAAACTCGCAGAACGAATTAATTTCGTCTTGCGAGGCACCACTGTAATACACTTCCCCACAGTTCAGTGCTTGAACGTCGGTAGACCATGTTTAGCAGCAAAGCCTGAAAGCACCCACAACCATGGTTTTTAAGGAAATTACAATCATCTATCCTTATATGTGTAGTCTGCCTAGGGGAACCTTCTCTCTTTTTTCATTTTTTAAAAAAGTAGTCACCGACACTTTTTTATGTTCAGTCAAAGTAATCCTCTATGTCTATCCTTGGATCCAAAAGATCTTCCCCATAGCGTGACAGATCCATTTGGTTGAGAATCAGGTTTTCAAAGGTTTCTTCTAGGTCTGTTTCTCCAATCAATACTGCTCCCAGCATGCGCCCATTCTGCATCACGACTTTGACGTACTCCTGCCCTTTAGTGCACCTGAGCATCAGTTCATGGTCTGAGCCCAAGCCTTGCGCATTGTACTTTCCCAGCAGCACCACCTGGGGGAATGGGGAAAAAAATAAGTTGTGGTCTTGAGAGTGCAAGTAGTGCAGAAGAGAGCCCTCTGCCTTAATCTAGTTACTCTAGTACTGATTTGCTTTGGGTCTGCCTTGAGAGTAGCCTCTACATCTTTTACAAAGGAAGCTCCATGTGGTGAAATTAGGTTTTAGCTACATAAATGTACTCTTGAGATTTGCTATCATGAGGACTGGAGTTGTGCATATTTCCCAAGTGAGACAAATCATGGCCTACCTATGGAAATCTAAACCTACTGCCATTGAAGATTAGGCGATATTAGTAGGGCAATTTACAATCATACCTGCAGTAAATAATTGCAATGATTTTGGAAATGGAAGAATCTGGATTACAGTGTTTTGAGGCAAGCTATATGAAGACCAAGGGTAATAACTGGTAGAGACTAATCTGCATTTATGAATTCCTAAACATGGTAAGTTCTGTGCTAACCAGACACTGCTGCTTATGGATCGATTTCCTTGAGCTAAGTTACTCATTTTGTAGGATCATATACTGTACTGACATAAAGCAGTATCTGGACATCTTGCAGTCCAGTATTTTACTCTGAAACTGTGTGCGCTACATGCTGGGGGGGGGGGGGGGAGGAAGCCAGTTAGTTTGCTGCTCATCAGTGCAGAGAGAAAGCTAGGTGTGGTAGCATTCTGCAGAATTAAAATGGAATCCCTTGCAATCAAGCCATTCCAAAACAGTGAATCATTGCAGTCGTTTATACACAGTTCATTACCTTGTAATTGAAAAACTTTGTCACATGAGCAAAGAGTTCAAAGCAAAAGTCCATGTCTGTAGGTTCCCCTAAAGTATCAGCAGCCATACATTTTGCAGCATACCATCCCATCTGCCTAGCCTGGGTCCAAAGCCTCATCTGGAAAAAAGGATATGGGAATCTATGCACCGAGATTGCAAGCAAGCGTTTTAGAACAATGAGCGTGTTTTCCTGGAGCCCAATCTCAAGTGCTCAGCTTATCAGAGAGCTACTATAAAGTACGGCCCTTGCTAAAAATATGGGAAGCATTGATAGTTACCCTTATACGTGGGATCCACACAAAAAACCCCATCACTGGCTGAAGTGATCCTGTTTGTCATGCCTTTCCCAGGATATTCAAATAAATAATAATCCTATTCCTCTTCACTTCCAATTTTCCAGCCCCAAGGACACATGGAAGATGAATGAAGATTGTAGATTGGCAGACAACAGACGGCTGGAATAGGAGTTTCTGCAGGTGGCTGTAGAAGCCGCTACAACAAATTGCTGCTACAGTCACCTGGAGACTTCTGGCAGCTCAAGATACTTTATTTAGTATCCTCTGAAAACTGGGGCAAAGTCCTTTGGCCGGCTGTGGATTTGGCCAACAATTCCACCCCTAAGTTTGATACTTAGGGGATTGAGGCGGGTCGGGACTGCTGATTCTCTTAGATTTATCAGCAGCCTTTGACATGGTCGATCATGATCTTTTAGACCACCGCCTCGCTGATGTGGGGATACAGGGCATAGCCCATAAATGGCTGTGCTCTTTTATCTCTGGTCTCAGAGATAAAAGAGCACAGAGGATGGCACTTTAAAGCCCTTCACGGCCTAGGACCCTCGTACCTACGAGACCGCCTCTCCTGGTATGCCCCACGGAGGACCTTAAGGTCCATATATAGTAACACCCTAGAGGTCCCAGGCCCTAAGGAAGTTAGATTAGCCTCAACCAGAGCCAGGGCCTTCTCAAAACTGGCTCCGGCCTGGTGGAATGCTCTGTCTCATGAGACCAGGGCCCTGTGGGATCTGATATCTTTCCGCAGGGCCTGTAAGACAGAATTGTTCCACCTGGCCTTTGGCTTAGAATCAGTTTGATTCCCTCCCCCTCTTTCTTTTTCCTTTCTCTTCCTTTGAAGAGATTGCACCCTAATGTTTTAATGTTGTATCTTAATCTTTTAAATTGTATTTTAATCAACTTGTTTTTATTATTGGTTGTTAGCCGCCCTGAGCCCAGTCTTGGCTGGGGAGGTAGGGGTATAAATCAAAATTTATTATTACTATTATTATTATTATTATTATTACTTAAGGCAGGTGTTCATTCCCTTCTGTTCTGTCATTTAACTGAACTGCCAGATGTACAATGTGTTTAGGACAACATGAACTAGAAGAAAGCCCAGGCTAATTATATACCGGTAATACACTGATGGGATTAAATTACCCTGAGGAAATCTTGTTAAAGCTACACACATCTACATTTGCCTTACCTGCTGCCAAACTGGACTAGGCTCCCATGACGTAGTGCAGATGTCCCCTGCCGCGTAGATATCTGGTAGAGAAGTATGCATGTATTTGTCCACTGTCAGACCCCCATCTTCACCTAGAACAAACTAAGCATTTAAGAGGTAAATGCAGATTTCTGCAAAATGGTGGGTGGCTGGAAGACAAAACTTTGCTGGTCTTAATAAGATCCGAGGTTGGGGGCTCTTATGTGTCTTTTAAGGGTATTGTTATGAAGAAGCCACACCCTTTGGCCCATCCCAATTTAGCTATCGGTATCCCAGTCCTTAGAGCTGCCGCACTTGGAAAGATCTCAAGTCTCTGGCCGCACATCCTGTCCAATCAAGGACTCTTGAGACAAAGATTAAGTGTAAGGTATTGGTTGTGTTTAGAAAAGATTTATGAAAGATTTAGAAAACTTATTGATTAGAATATTTGTATAAGATTGTATGGGGAAAATACGGAATAACAGATACAATTTTGCTTAAAATGTATATAGGAAGTGCAGTGTAAGCGATGGAAGTCAATCAATGAAATTTTATTATTGAGATATTTGTAGAATAAATTTGGAAGAAATTCTTCCAATTTTTCTTCTTCTTTTTCTCCTTATTTTTTCTTTTCTTCCTTTTTCCTTTTTGTTCTTTTTTTATATATGTGTGCTTATCTGAAATATATATGTATGTATGTATTTGCAGTATTTTCCTTGTATTTTGTAATAATTATGTTAAATAAATTTATTTTTAAAAAGGACTCTTAACTGCCCCAAATATTCAGACCGCAGTTTGACAAACAAGAGGCAGGGCTTACTAGCGCCCACACTGCAGGAAGGACACAGAACTTCGAGTCTAAAGGTGGTGCTACAAGCAAAGATTTCCCAAACGCAGACTCTCAGAATGAGGGGGTTTGTTAAGTTCCACATGCTGCCCTCTGGGTCTCAGTTGGCAGAGCACAAGACTCTTAATCTCAGGGTCGTGGCTTCAACCTCTACATTAGGCAAGAGAGTCCTGTATTGTGTGGGGTTGGACTAGATGACCCTTGGTCCCTTCCAACTCTATAAATCTATGATCCCACGGGACTCTACTCAAGCCAGAGCCCTCACCAGCCCTATTTCATACCCTTCTTGAATGTTCTGGCCTGGCTGGAATGTGTCCTTCAACTCTGATAATGCCTCTAGCTTGCCAGAGGCTACAAATTGGGTGTGCAAGTGTGCAGAGAATCTAACTTATGGTAAAGGTAAAGGGTAAAGGGACCCCTGATCATTAGGTCCAGTCGTGACCGACTCTGGGGTTGCGGCGCTCATCTCGCTTTATTGGCCAAGGGAGCCGGCGTACAGCTTCCGGGTCATGTGGCCAGCATGACTAAGCCGCTTCTGGTGAACCAGAGCAGCGCACAGAACCGCCGTTTACCTTCCCGCCGGAGTGGTACCTATTTATCTATTTGCACTTTGACTTGCTTTTGAACTGCTAGGTTGGCAGGAGCAGGGACCGAGCAACGGGAGTTCACCCCGTCACGGGGATTCAAACCGCTGATCTTCTGATCGACAAGTCCTAGGCTCTGAGGTTTAACCCACAGCACCACCCGCGCCCCTTAACCTATGGTACAAAAGTGAAAGGTTACATCTGTTGCTCAAACCACTTCTGGCATGTGGACCTTGGACAACTTTCCAGAAGGGAATGTGGGCCTTGGGTATGGAAAGATTCCCCTCTCTGTTATTACGTACTAGTAAATGGGTGCTATTAATGGAGCTAAAAGGAAAACACAGCAAGCCAAATTCTACAAGATATGGGGATCCTCTTAAGCTGCATAACATTTCGTTCATTCGGTTCAAATTAAGGTACCCATAAACTGCATACTGCACAGCTCAATATCTCAGGGGACTTACCCACCCCAAATTTTATATTAATAGTACTTTAAATGGGTTGGCCCTTTTTGTTGTATCCTTAAAAGCCTTGCATAGAAAAACAATTTCATATTCTCAGTGTTAATTCTTACATTATTGCCATCAAGGAATGGTTGGACATTTGGTACAACCCCGGTCGCACTGACAATGAAGTTGCAGCCATATATCTTCCCGCTGGTCAACTCAACATACACCGGCCACCTCTCTGGAAGAATGGAAGTTCAGGCATGTGAACACACACGGTCCAGGTTATGTGGATTAGGAACAGACTCAGAGGTTTCCAGGTGTTAAGATTCATTTGTTCCTCTACTAGGATTGCCCTGGATTGCAAGCAGGGGGAGCTATAATTCTTCTAGTGACCCCCTAGAGCCTCCTTAAGATGATACACTTGGGAGAGCGACAGCTGGACACCAGGGATGAGGAACCTCTTTCACCCTGAGGGCCATGCTCCATTCTGTTCAACCTTTTGGGGCCCACCTGCCAGGTGGGGCCAGGCACAAATGGGAGAGGAGTTTGTAAGCCATGCTTTCATTCTGCAAATAAGACCCTGCACTGTCCTGCACTCTTCATATATATATATATATATATATATATATATAATCTCCAGGAAGATAGATAGATGATTGATATAATTAAATTAAATTTTCTGTTTTACAATTAAAAACATTCGTTTTGCATCCTTAAGATATCAATGACTTCCCTTCTTCTCTTTCCATGGTTCATTTTACATATCATAAATCCCTGCATAATTTACAAAAAACTATACCGTTCAGTATTCCAATATTGAATCCATCAAAACTTATTTACACTGTTGGATTTATCTTGCTGCTGCCAGCGTTTTCAGCTGTACACAATTATTTCCCATATATTCAATAAACGTTTTCCAATCTTCTCTAAACGTATGTTATTCATGTTCTCTTATTCTATATGTTAAGTCTGCGAGTTGTGCATATTTTGTCAACTTGAGTTGCCATTCTTCTTTGGTTGGGGCCTCGCTCATTTTCCATTTCTGGGCTAACAAAACACGGGCCGCAGTAGTTGCATACATTTTTTTTGGGGGGGGGGAAGTCTTGCACTCTTCTTGACACACTGTTTACCTTCATCCATTTCTGCATTCCTCTCGTCCGGCTGAACTCTGGGGAAAGCCAGAGACACCTTCTCTGACTGCTGGAACTCTTCCCAGAGATAGATCTTCTTCACTTCACAAAGGCTTTCAATGTGAACTTTGTGGGACAGCTGAAAGATAACAAATAATTGCATTTGATAACACCATTCCTACTTAAGTTATGTGCGACTCCTACAGTGCGAGCCTTAACAAACACATTTGTTTTGTGCCAAATTTTATTAACATTTTTGATGTTGAGCTTTCTGGTCAATTCAGCTTGCTACAAACTTTCAAGTGATTTTTATAGTGTGATCTGGCACGGTATTAGTTACAAGCTTCTATTCTGAAAACTTTCTTGGCGTATTGGATTTAAAAGTTGTCTTCTTAATGTTACTTATTACCCACTATGTAGGAAAACTGCCTCATGAGGGCTATGCCCTAAAAGTCACTCTGCAAATCCTTAAGAAAGTACTAAATAAGTAAGAGGTCTAGATAAATTTCTCTGTGGCTCCTGTCCAAAAATTTATCTCCGTTGAGTCCTGGTTGACCGTGCCTCTAAATCAAGGAGGGAGCCTAGGAATGTAGAGCAGATTCTCCTCTTCAGACATAATTGCCCAAGGTATAGATAGCCAGCAGGAATGAAGCAGTAGGGCCAGGGTCTCACTGCCTCCCAGTCACATAATTCCTTTTTTAAAAATATAGGTTTATTAATTTCCAATATATAACAATTACAAAAAAGAGACAAAATCTAGTTAAGCTTGCCAAAGTACAATCAGTGATTTTGGTAGTTGGCATTCTTCAGTTATCAGTAAAGTATTTTATTTTAACTTTATAACAAAGGTCAGGTTGCCCTTCTTTAAAAACGGTCAAGAAGCCCATACTTGGGGTATATTCTGCATGTTGACTTGTAATGTAGTTTATTTCTGTAAACACCCTCGGCCAGAAGGGCTTTATATAAAGTTCCTGATTGTTAATGGGGCACAGGGGAACACCCGAAGGGAGCTTAGGATAAGCAGCCATACCTCTTTTGCTCCCTTAAGACATAAGCCTTCGTGCCAGTCGGGGCCTAAGGCGCTGCCGATTTCCCCTGGGTTTGCTGCAGCACTTTGTTCTATCTCACTTCCTGGGGGACAAGGAGGAAAGAGATAAGGACATATGCTATAGAGGAAGTACAGGCAGCCTATATATTTTCTGGGTACAAAGACAATACAGCCTCTCCTCAGCAGGGCAGGGTTAATAATAATAATAATAATAATAATAATAATAATAATTGTATGTATATACCACCCATCTGACTGGGTTGCCCCAGATGAGGTCTTTACAAGGTCCTTCTTCTGTACAAGGTCCTTCTGTACTTCTTTATTTAAAAAAATATTTTTATTAGCAATTTCAACATAACGAATTATCAAACTGTATAATCGCATACATTATTTCCCCCCTTCCTTCCATCTCTTCCTCCCCACCACCAGAGACTTCCCTCAGCTCCTCTCTCTGATTTCTCAGCACATATCATTCTCTGCATGTTATAAAATTGTACGTATCCTTACATTATTTATCTAACATGCCAAGGAGTCCAGTTCATTTTGTTGTCTTTTTAGATAATTTGTAAAAAGCTCCCATTCTTCCTTAAAGTCACAGTTGTCCTTGCCCCGCAATTTATATGTCAATTTAGCCAACTCTGCATAGCTCATCAATTTTTCTTGCCATTGTTCTTTCGTTGGGATTTCCTCATTCTTCCATCCTTGTGCTATCAAAACTCTTGCCGCCGTTGTAGCATACATAAATAAATTCTTTGTTTTTCTTGGCAGGTCTTGTCCTGCAATCCCAGGTCCTTCTGTACTTCTTATTTAGTCCTGCTGGCCACATGACCCGGAAAGCTGTCTGTGGACAAACACCAGCTCCCTCGGCCTGAAAGCGAGATGAGCGCTGCAACCCCATAGTCGCCTCTGACTGGACTTAACCGTCCAGGGATCCTTTACCTTCACTTATTACGAGTGCAACCCAACTTCCCACCCTGTTCTTGCAGCAGCTATTCCCACTCCACAAACTCAGCCCCAACGCTACCTCATCTCTTACAGTTTGCAAATACAGTGGTGCCTCGCAAGACGAAAAGAATCCGTTCCGGGAGTCTCTTCGTCTTGCGGTTTTTTCGTCTTGCGAAGCAAGCCCATTAGCGGTTTAGCGGATTAGCGCTATTAGCGGCTTAGCGGGCTTAGCAGATCAGCTGATAAGCGGCTTAGTGGCTTAACGGATCAGCTGTTAAGCGGCTTAGCGGATCAGCTGATAAGCGGCTTAGTGGCTTAACGGATCAGCTGTTAAGCGGCTTAGCGGATCAGCTGATAAGCGGCTTAGTGGCTTAACGGATCAGCTGTTAAGTGGCTTAGCGGATCAGCTGATAAGCGGCTTAGCGATCAGCTGTTAAGCGGCTTAGCGGCTTGGGAAAAAGGGGGGGAAAGGAAAAAAAACCCCGCAGGAACTCGCAAGACATTTTCGTCTTGCGAAGCAAGCCCATAGGAAATTCGTTTTGCGAAGCACCTCCAAAACGGAAAACCCTTTCGTCTAGCGGGTTTTCCGTCTTGCGAGGCATTCGTCTTGCGGGGCACCACTGTATCTGAAGTGTGCAGGGTTGGGCCGATGCAACGGTTTTCATACAATATAAGCCAATATACAAGCAAGAGCCACTTTACAATGCCCGAGATGCTCTACAGTACCTGGTATTCCACCTGCCGTCGTATATTTTGTTCTTTTACAAGCGATCGGAGGCTCCGGTTTCATGGCACTCAGCTTTGGGATCAGGAACTCAGCCGCTCCTGCATCAAAGAAAGTATTCCCAATCGCTTTGTCTTTGATGGCCCAGATGACTTCGCAACCTTCGATTTCGTACCTAAAAAGAATCATGGCAAGAAAAATTGATGGACTATGCAGAACTGGCAAAACTGACATACAAACTACGGGACAAGGATAACTGTGACTTTAAAGATGAATGGGAACCCTTTACAAAGTATCTGAAGACACAACAAAGCGAATTGGACTCCTTGGCTGGTTTTGAATAAACATTCACAAACTTTTTCTTGATAATAATCAGCTAAATAGTTTGAGAATTTATACAACTATGTAACATGCAGAAAACAGCATTTTTAGAGAAACCAAAGACTGGAACTGAGGGAAGTCAGGGGGTGGGTGGGTTCTGTGGGGGAGGGAGGAAAAATGGGGGGGGGGGGAAATAAGGATGATATGTTTCTGGATAATATGTTTTAATTTTGAATAAAAAGTTTTTTTGTTTTTTTTTTAAATTTATTATTATTTTTAAGCTATTTTGTTTCTGGTGTGTTACTGTAATTAAGGTGGGGGTTTTTAAAAAAGAAAAGAAACAAGTTTAAAAAGCAACCTGGTTTACATGTCACTATTTTTCACACGAACAAGCAGTGCCTGGTGCTAGCTCCTGAAATCACAGGTACTTCACTCCTCCTCCACTGCTGCTACATTGCTGGGAAATAAGTCATGGCCTGGCTTGGTGAGTCATCCAATCCTGGCCTCCAAATTTGTTTCTCTCCAAACAAACTATAAAATTCTAAGCCAAGAGAAACCCTGGCTTCCACTCGTGGTTTGTTTTGGAGAGGGACAAGCCACGAAGCTGGTGTTTGGACAAGTGAAAAAACACCCCAAAGACCATGGCTTGTTTCCTTGCAGGAACAGGCATGGAGCAAAGTGGCCATGATTTCAGCACTGCTACTTCACATTAAATCATAGTTCATTTTAACTACGGTTTAATGTGACGTGCAAACCTGGCAAATTAAAAAAAAATTAATGTTAGGTTCTCACACTGCATTCAGCGTTCCAAAAAGGCACGGATGTACAATAGCAGCACAAATTAGATCTATAGCTAAGATAGTAGTAGTAGTAATAGTAGTAGTAGTAGTAGTAGTAGTAATAATAATCTATTATTTATACCCTGCCCATCTGGCTCTGTTTCCCCAGCCACTCTGGGCAGCTCCCAGCAGAATAATAATAATAATAATAATAATAATAATAATAAAGCTCTTAGCTTCACTTATTTTTCAAAAGAAGGAAGATTTACGTACACTAATTCCAGGGCAATGCCACCATTTCCCACAATGGTTATTCTTTTCGCTCTTGCCAGATGTTTCTGAAATTCCTGCACTTGACACAGAGACAGACAGAGAGATCATTATAGTAACATAAGAAGCTGCCTTCTACTGAGTGATGCAGTTGGCCTGTCAAGCTCAGGATCATCAACCTTGACTGGGAGTGACTCTCCAGGGTTATGAACAACAGCCTCTTCTGGTCCCACAGGAGTTGCCAGGAACTGAACCCAGGACATACTACGTACAAAGTAGATGCTCTACCACTGAACTGTGGCCCTTCCTCTGTTATTGCAACAGAGCTGACCCCATTTGACCCCAAAACAAACCAAATTTAATTACCAGTTAAAACAAAGAGGGAGGGGCACTACTCGGCTCCCTATTTGGGGGCAATATAGCTCTCTGCTTTTAAAGTCTGAGCTCCCTTCCACTCCCCTGCAAGACTATATAGCTGAATAAAAGCAGACCTATCTATCTATCTATCTGCGCTACAAGTATGTGCAAAATCTTCTTTTCTCTCTCTTGTGGTTGTCTTTCTTTCCACATTCTACATTTCTTTCCAATATTTCTGTTCCGTTAAGCAACGCTGCAGAACTCCCCTGCTTAGAAACGCCTGTCAGAGGTGTCCCCTTTTGACTTTTCGGAAGCTAGAGGAAACCCTCTCTCTTTTTCTGTGTTTCTGTGCTGCATGGTTATTTCTGGCTTAGACCTCACCAAATTTATAAATCTATGTCTGCGTCGGAGACTGCTGAAAGCACACAACAAGCATTACCGCTGCGCTGTCTGTATCGCGGATTCCCAACACGAAGGGGTTTCTTTCAGTAATCAGCTTTGGCCTTGCTCCAGCACACAGACAAACTTTTTCGTAGACATACTCCTGACCGGCTTCCGTGATTATTTTCTGCAACCATGTTATAAAATGGAAAAGAAAGAAGAGAAGGACATCTTTGAAGGGTCCAGTACAGCATGCCATTGATCCTTTTTTTAAAAAAAACCATAGACTCATAGAATTGTACAGTTGGAAGGACCCAAGTTTCCCCATCCTCACTCTACATTAATTCAGAGTCATGGGTTCGAACCCCAGGTTGAGCAAAAGATTTACGCATTGCAGGAGGTTGAAGTAGAAGACCCTTGTGGTCCCTTCCAACTCTACAGTTCTATGATGGGGCGGTTTCACATTGAAACAAGGAAGAACTGCCCCTGTCCTGTGCAGATCGGCTTCAATGCTTGTTGAGCTTAAGCAACAGAAGCATTTGTGCACAGGAGAATGGAATGAGAGAAGCTAGGAAAAAAGAACCTGAAGCACATTTCCCACATGTTCTCCAAAGAGCTCCAGGAAGAACAGCGAGAACTTCCTGCCTGCGATACCTTGCACCATTCCCCCTCTTGTAGTTCACCAGCAATCCCTCCAAAGCTACTTCTTCAGTAGGAAGTCTGCAAGCTAGCCGGCTTCCAATGCAGCTGGATGAGCAAACACTTAAGATTCAGGCTGTCAATTCACACAGAGGAACACAAATAGGAAAACCTTCCTCTGGGTGGCAGTGTAGGATGTTCTCCAAAGCACTCGACTATGCTCCTGGCTCCTAAGAGCTGGTTTGATGCAATAAAGTGGATCTCCTCCTCTCACGCAGACATCACTTGGGTATTAAAATTCAACAAGCGCTGTCTGGCATATCAACTGCTTCGCCAATATCTGCTCCCGACAATAGCAGTTTCTCACACCGCATCAAAAACCTGCTCTGGAAACCCCACCCTCAATTTCCTGGCCTGGGGCAGGGGTGGGCCTTGCCCCAGTGTGCATGCATTAGTTTCTACCACAACCAGCTTAATGTCTGCATGAAAAGTCAGCTCCCGTCTCATCTTTATAGGTTGTAAACCACTGCATGTGTAAGTCCCACTGACAGGGCTATGCCCTAGTAGATTAGAATCACCTGACTCTACCGGTGCAGGAATATCTGGAGGTGACCGTGTTGGTCACCTAGTCTACAACATGAGACTTGATTTTTCATATCAAGACAGCTCCGCTCTCATCCTGGAAAGGGAAAGCCATTTCTCATTCCAGAAAAAGACAAAAGGATGAAGGGTCCTCTTACATGTTCTTCACTCTTCAGCTGTTTTACTCCAGACTGAATAACCTTAATGTTAGGGTAGCGTTTTTCTAAGATGCTGCTTGCTTGTTCTTCAACATCAAATTCTTCTAAAGTCCTGGAAACCTGTCAAAAACAAACAAACAAAAATATCCTTCAGATGCAAGTCAACTTCCTAACCAAAATCTACTGATGCACAAATGCACCAAAGAACCCCTCGGGTTCTTGTCAACCCTGAAAGGCAAGCTTCATAGATGACACTCCCTTAGGGCTAGTTCAAACACACACACACACACACACACACACACACACCCTACCCAATAGCTGGACCAACAGCTGCAACTGCAGTGGGATGCTGCTACTGATTACATGTTAAGTGGGGAAATTCAGGCTTTCCCAGTCCTAGATATTTGCAGGGACCTGCAAACAGCAGCAATAGCTGCAAAGGAGAACACACACAAACACATCCTTAAAGCCAATCTCACCCAGCATCCTGTTATCCCAGGGACCAGCTCTTAATGGGAAGCCTGCAAGCAGGACAAAGTGCAACAATGCTCTCCTCGCTTGTGGTTCCCAACAACAGTTATTCAGAAGCATACTGCCTCCAACAATGGAAAGAGAACATAGTCATCATGGCTAGTGGCCAATGATAACTTTGTTTCCCATGGATTTGCCTTTGAAAGTTGTCCAAGTTGGTGGCCATTGGAACATCCAATGGGAGCAAATTTCCTACAGCTCATCTATGTGCCACGCAAAGAAGTACTTTCTTTGAATGGCCCTAAATCCTAGTATTAAAAGTGGGCACTACTACAGGAAAAATGGGCCTGCAGTGGCCATTGAAACAGGGTTACAACAGCAGAGTAGATTACTTCACCTTACCCCAAATCCCCAAGAAGCAGTTATTAGTTCTGTTCTCACCTGCTTGAAGTTCGTTACTGCTTTTATAAGAGGAGATGCTGTGACTAATAAAATATCATCAGAAGGAAACTCTGTAGCCAGCTGTTCAAAGGGGTAGAAAATATTATAAGTTATTTTTAAAACGAGCAACTCACACCTACATTTTTCCAAACAGACAATTATTTAAATTCATCTACCCCCCCCCAATAACTGGTATTAGCATCCTACCTCTGAAACAGAGGTCCTATTTAGACACAGTGGGAAATTTTTAGCTTTCTTACTGTTCAAGAAAAAAGCCTATGTTAAATCATGCTGTGACATTAATTGGAACATGGTAGATCTTGTCCTAGGGACGGGGAATGGGTAGACTTTAATCAAAGTTACACTAAAATGCTTGATTTCTGCGTTGTTGCTTTTAATGGGGAACCGTGGGAAGCCACCTCGGAAGCTACGCACCGCATACCCATCTTCTCATTATACGTCTATGAAACAACCAAGAAGTTTCCGTAGGGAAAGGCGTGGAAGGGAAAAGGCCAGAGGGCGCATGCGCAAATACGCAAGGTACTTCAGCCGCTCAGCAAACGTTGCTCCAGAGGGCGCATGCGCAGAGACCGCGTATATGGTTTCTGAGGCGCAGGGACAGTACGTTACCCGCTCAGCGCACGTCACTCCGGCAATGCCACCTCCCACCACAACGAAGCGGCTCCGCCGGGCAGCGAGTTGGGGCGACTGGGCTGCCATAGCCGCGTCTCGGGCCTGCGAGGCTCCGGCCTCCTCCTCGTCTGGGCGACTCTTCACCCGCTTCGTTGGTGTAGCCTGGCTACGGGTCGCCGCGAGGCTCGTAAAACTTCCGTTTGGCGTTTCCCGCTTGAGGAGGCGTGACCAGAAGAACAGATACGACTCTCTGCTGCCCCCTGTGGTCCATGCGTTTATATTGCAACTAAAGGAGCGCAGAAGATTTATGGCTTGAAGCCAAAGGGAGATTTAAGGGACTGAATTTATTTATTGACTTTGGAAGCCGAGCTTTGTATTGGATAGATTATACAAAAATTGTCGCCGAGAGGAAAGGGTGGTTCTGAGCATAGGCTGAGTGCTGCAGATTTTATATATATATTTTTGCAATATATTGCTCACCTTTTTCTCCCAAGGAGATCAAAGTGGTGCTGGTGGTTCTCATTTAATCCCCCACAACAACCCCGGGTTAGGCTGAGAGGCAGTGATTGTCCCAATGCCACTCAGTGAGTTTCATGGCTGAGTGGGGATTGGAACCCTGATTTCCCAAGGTCCCAAGGCACTTTAACCACTGCGCTACGCTGGTGTAGATGACTTTGAAGGGGTGTCAGATGAATTCAGGGTTCTTCAGCTGCATGATGGCAAAATGTGCCACGGATGTGTTTGCAATTCCCTTCTACTGATGTTCACATGATTAGATCATGGGTAGGCAAACTAAGGCCCGGGGGCTGGATCCGGCCCAATCGCCTTCTAAATCCGGTCCGCGGACGGTCCAGGAATCAGCGTATAATGTGTCCTTTTATTTAAAACACATCTCTGGGTTATTTGTGCGGCCTGCCTGGTGTTTTTACATGAGTAGAATATGTGCTTTTATTTAAAATGCATCTCTGGGTTATTTATGGGGCATAGAAATTTGTTCATTCCCCCCCCCCCCAAAAAAATATAGTCTGGCCCCCCACAAGGTCTGAGGGACAGTGGACCGGCCCCCAGCTGAAAAAGTTTGCTGACTTCTGGATTAGATGAAGCTTAGCAAATGCAGGCCAGAGTTCCTACCCCCACATTGCAGGGAAATAGATGCTGGAAAGACAGTGGCTTACATCAACCCTGCATTGTATATCAATTTGTTTTTTATCTCTTTGCTGCAGTTTCAGGGGGTAGATGGTCACATCCTATATTCATGATTTCCACATATCAAGAGGCAGGCTGAGATTGATAGCATTGCTTGCCTTGCATTTTCCCACAAATGGGAAAACAGTACAAATTATCAGACTCATCCTCAGGATATCCTAGATCAAACTCTGCAAACCTAACACTCTAACCATTATGCAATTGGGCCCAAAGCTGCTTGGAAGGCAGAAGTCTGTCAGGGACAGCGTCTCATTTCATTTAACAGGAGAAGCTGCACTTTGAAGAATGTTCCCCTTCATGTATCTATTGGCAAGAGGATGCTGGAGTTAAATATTTAGATATGTACAATGGCGTTTAGTGTTAGTTGGGAAAGAAAAATAGGTAAATAAAAAATATAATTCCCTGGATGCCAAGATCCAGGTTTGGTGAGAGAAACCCCGTAAAGATTTAAAACAACAAGACATGCATTATTGCAAACAGACCACAAATCTCTAAAGAAAACTTGCCCAGTAGAGGCAGAAGTTTTTACTTTTCAGAGGTGGGCGAATGGAAAACAATATCAGGAAATGAGTTATGGCCCTGGAAGCGACAGCTGTTAGTCATGAATGGCTTTCCCTTTGTTTCCTATTATTTAAAGAGCAAGTTTGCTTTCCAGGGCTGAATGTAATTTCCCAATCCAAGAAACTGCTAGACAGTTCAGCCATAAACTAAATATTACTCTTCTACACCTGCAGCCCTTGCTGCCAACACAAACGACCTGACCTGAATAATACAAGAAATTGGACAGGCATGCATTGTAAGAGATGAAATATACCTCTGAAGTTTTTCTCATCAACATAGGACAGTCAAAAGAAATTTCATTCAAGGGCAAACTGATGCATTTCAGTCCTCTATCATAGTGAGTTGTTTGTGGTTCTGTCAAGTTTGGGCAAAAAGAGCCTAAGTCAGACCTCCTTGGACTTTTAATCAAGGGCTCCTTGGACTTTTGCAAGGGCTGAATCTGGTCTGCAAATGTGAAAGCCAAATGCACCTTTGTGCATAGAAAGGCAGACAAAAAATAAGTAGGCATTTTAGTCTGACAGCAGCAATCAGCCAAGTTTTTCTCTCGTCTTTTTCTTTTTTGCCATATGTTTCAGCAGTAGCTCTCTTCCATAGCAAGCACACAAGTTCCAGATGCACAGGGGGGTCTTCCTTGCCTCGCCTCTCCCCACACCTCATGAAAACTGCATAGGGGAAGTTTGCCGTGACAATAGAATAGTAGTATTGAAAATGGCCTGTAGCCATTATACCTGAAGGAGCACCTCCACCCCCATCGTTCTGCCCAGACACTGAGATCCAGATCCGAAGGCTTCTGGCGGTTCCCTCACTGTGAGAAGTGAGGTTACAGGCAACCAGGCAGAGGGCCTTCTCGGTAGTGGCGCCCTTTCTGTGGAACGCCCTCTCATCAGATGTCAAAGAAATAAACAACTATCTGACCTTTAGAAGACACCTGAAAACAGCCCTGTTTAGGGGATTTTTTAATGTTTGATCTTTTATCGTGTTTTTAATGTTCTATTGGGAACCACCCAGCGTGACTGGGGAAACCCAGCCAGATGGGTGGGGTATAAATAATAAATTATTATTATTATTAGTCTTCCAGCTTTGGGCTTCTCAGGACAGGCCATGTAAGTATTCCTAATGCAGTTCCTCTCCCCCACCCATTGATTCAGATACCAACAATTAAAAACAATGGGCTTTCTCACATACAGCCCTCTTCTCTCAGAAGGAAAGCAATGCCCAACCAGGTGAAAACAGAATAAATGAGGACGGGAGGGAACTGCAGCCCAGTATAGGAAAAGAGGTGGTATGGGAACACCTAGCTACTTTAAGTGAATTCAGATCTCCAGGGCCTAAAGAGCTGCACCCAAAGGTACTAATCTGAGCTTGCAGATGTAATCTCACAGCCTCTGTTTATAATCTTTGAGAATTGTTGGAGAACAGGTGAGGTCCCTGCAGACTGGAGGCTACCAGCTGTTGTCCCCATCTTAAAAGGTGTGGGGACGGAGAAGACCCAGGCAGCTACCAACTAGTCAGCTTGACATCAGTAACCAGGAAAGGTCCTAGAACAGATAATTCATCGGTTTGTCTGTGAGCACTTAGAAAAGGATGCTGTGATTACTAAGACTCAGCATGGGTTTCTCAATTTTCATTTCTTTTTTTGATGGAGTTACAAGCTTGGTGAATCAGGGGAATGCTGTGGACATAGCGTAACTTGATTTCAGTAAGGCTTTTTGACAAAGTCCCCCATGATATTCTTGCAGAGAAACTGGTAAAATGTTGGTTGAACGAGGTAACTGTTAGGTGAATTTGTAACTGGTTGAATGGCTGAGTACTCACTAATGGTTCCTCATCATGTGACTTGGACAAAGCAATTAAGGGGATGCTCATCAAATTTGCAGATGACAGCAAACTGGGAGGGTTAGCTAATGTTTCAGAACACAGAACCGGGTTTCAAAATAACAAATTAGAGAACTGGGCACAAATTAAGAATAAATCTTCAGTTCTAAATTTAGGTAAGTATTATCAAGTTTGGGAAAACCCAACTCGCTTTCTTTCTGAATGCATGTAGTACAAAATTTAAAAGGTGTCACTGCAATGAAACGCAATTCAGTCTTGCGTTTGTAGGATGGATACAATTCATATTCCCAAAATGAATAAACAATGATGTGGCTTGGTTCTGCGCTCCCATGAAACTCTTAAAGTTGGGGGGAGGTACAAACAGCTTCTCCACTCCTCATTTAAGCTTCCCTGGTTCCCCATCCCTGGTCTTAAGTGCCCCAATTCCACCAAGCACCCTGTGTTCTTTTAAGTGCTTTTTGCCCAATAAAGAATTCTGAAGAATCAGAAGCATTGCAGTATTGGGTGACATTTTCCTTGGTCCTACTAAAGCGGGGCAGCGAACGTTGTTCCCTCCATGTGTTGCTGGACTCCAATGCCCATGAGCCACAGCCAGCATGGCCAATAATCCGGTGTGATGGTAGTTGTATTCCACATCAATGACCAAAGGGATTGCCTACCAGTATGTTTCTTTTTTGTTCCTTTCTTCCCTGAAGAAGCAGCGCTGTTGTTGTTGTGGCGGCTGCCCGTCTTCTCTCCAGTTCCTTAATTAATTGCCTGCCTGCTTCTGTGCAATCTTGAAACTGTCAGTGTTCAAAGGGAATCTCCCCCTGATATTTTTAAGCACGAAATCCCTGGCACCCTGGAGCGCCTTTGCCATTCTTGTTTGCAATTTCCTTTTTGTTTTTATCTGCCCCGCCACCGCCACCAATTCTCGGCCCTTTCACCGGAGACATTCCGAAGCAGAGATGACATCATCTATCATGTTGTGAGGAGGCGGCTTTTGACAGTTCTATTTTGCTCTTTGTTATCAAACTGCACCAATGTCACTTGGCATTACTTGTTTCTGTCTGGGGAAACTCAAATTGATTCTGCCAGCAAAATTTGCAATACATGGACTCAGACATTGTTCTTTCCCGGGTGCTCATCTCCAGTTCCCAAGTGGGTGTTGTAGGTTGACCAACACTGCTATCTTCTGTATGCCTACTCAGAAGTAAGCAGCACTGAGTTCATTCAGACTTGCTGCCAAGTAGGAATGTCTAGGATCGTGGCCTAAGCTGCAACAGATCAAAAGCAAAGAAGCTATGGTACAAATATACCAACATGATGTTTCTGCCTTGGAAAATGTTTCCTTTCATTGGGAAGAAAAAACCTTTTATTTATTCTATTTTTAATAGCCATTCAGTTGGAACATTCTCCAAAATATAAAAGTGAAGTAGTATCATCAATTTATACGATACAGCAAAAACTAATCTGTATAAATCTGTGTCCTTCAAAGGTCAGCACTGGACCCCTCTAAGGTCTGAGCCATAGGCAGCTGCCTAGTTGGCTCTGACTGTTTCCATCAGTAGCTATTCCATTTGGCTGCACCCAAGGGAAAGGTGAGACAATGACCCACCTTGTTGGCTTAGCTGCTATCTACTGCCACATAGCTTCCCTCAGAACTGTCTGTCCATGTCATCGCCATTCAACCCAGTTGCATCAGAGGAAGCCCAGGAAGTTAGATAGCTGGGGTGGGGCCACATCCTTAGCTTGGCTGGACCAACTCTCCTCCTCCCAGAACTGTCTCATGCAGTGAGCGTTCCAACTGGTCACTGTATAACTGTTATGGGACAGTGCAAAGGAGTCAGAATCCA